ACCTAACAAACAGTATCCCTTTGGAGCTGTTCGACGGGAAACCTACCTCTGCAGGATTGATAACTCAGACCTACACTGACCAGATCAGTTTTGCGGAAGGAACAATTCACAAGGTGGAGTTCCTAGTAACTCGATTACACCCCACGGCTCCAATTGTGCTAGGACTGCCGTGGCTACGCATGCACAACCCAGTAATTGACTGGAAGGAACTTTGCCTGACATTCCAGGACCGAAACGTTCGAATCTCAGCAGCCCTTGCGTCGGAAATTGTCCAACCAGGCGCCGAGGGAGGTACTGAGGAGCTAGGGAGGGGGGTAAACGGCGAATCGGAACACTTCGTGGAGAGCATCCTAGACTCTAGACCCGTTAAAGGGAAGTCGGAGGAGGTGGAATACCTGGTTAAATGGGAGGGTTACGATGATGACTTCAACTCGTGGGTGGGATGGAGAGGAATGGTAGGCTCACTGGAACTTGTAAAGCAGTGGCACGGCACGCACAACCGAAAGCGGAAACCAAGGAGGGACCAATGGGAATTACTGGAGAAGCAAGCAAAGGATGACAGAGGGGAAGGAACGGCATCACCAGGGAGCACAGGAAGTGAGAGCGGAGAGGAGGAGGGAGAGAGACGGAGGAGCACGAACTAACGAATAACGGACAACACAACACGACGAACAAATTATGATCTCCTCATTTCCTTTTCCAAACTTCATTTCATATTATCCTTCATTACTCACTTAGCGCGCTACCCACAAACCACATCGAATGCCTATCAGTCTATATTCAAGAAACGGACGATACATTCAAGAAATGGACTACGCGACGCTAAGCAAAACATACGAAAACCAACAGCCAAAAAATTAATAAAAAAATCGTACAGCAGACTACAATACGGGACTAGACCCCTCGCTTTTAACCGACACATCGCCCCGCACCCTAGCTTCATACTCCTCATGGGACTCATAAAGATCCTCGCCATCATCATCCATCATTGTGAGGTCGATGACGTTGGGAACGACAGGGACGGAAAGAAGGGGAACGGGGGATGAAGGAGAACGAGAATCAGGAAGGAAAAGGGGAGCCCCTGAACCTTCCTCAGGACGATCCCTGCCACCCTCCTCCGCGGGTGTGGAGGCGTTCCGACGAACAGCAGGGCCCACTGTCCCTTCCACCTCCACACTTCCCTTGGGAACACTCTCGTTGTTTCCTCCCGCTGGAACCGAATCTGTCGAAAGGGAAGGACCGCTCCCAACGTCAGGAAGCTCCGTCGGAGAAGGAAACGAGTACCGGGGACCTGGGGTGTCAATCATATCGCGAATATAATTGGCGATGAGATGCTCCCAGAAGACCATAATGGAATCCATAGCAGGGATGGCGGGGAGGTGATCGGAGGTAGGGGAAGGCGAAATCGGGATGGGATGACCAAAGGAGAAGAATCTCCTATGAAGAGGAGGTTCCAAGGAACCAGGACGAGCATCTACATATCCGGCGTGTTGGGCGGCGGTAAGAAAGGCGTCGTGAGAAGGGAAACGCGAATGAGTCAACATCTCCTGGTATAAACCTTCAACCCGGTCCGCCGCGTTGGAATAGTAATACAGAAGACTGCTCGTCGAACGAAGATGTAATTCGCCGTGGACGAAGCGAGCCTGGGACAAGTAATCCAAAACGAAGTTGATAACGGAGGCAAGACGGTCGGGAGTGTGATGAAGACCGCGGTACAGGAGGAGGGTGATGGCCTCCAGGAGACCCCCTACGTACCGGTTATGGTAATGGAGCAAGTTGGCAGGATCAGATCGGTAGAGTCGATGGGCGAAAGTGGCCAACCGACGAACTAACGCCTCCGAGGCATCAAGCTTCCGTTGCAACTCTGAAAGGGAGGGCAGTTCAACCTCGTACAGACCCTCATCTTCGGGGTACTGTCTAATCAAACCTTCCGCAACATGAGCCCTATTCCGATACTGGCAAACCAACTCCTCTAACTCCTCCAGACGATCTCGTTGACGCAGGGCACGAGCATTAGCAGCGTCAAGATCCGAGTAAGCTTCGAAGGAGCGATTGCTGGCATCATCGACTTGCTTACGGAGCTCCCCGAGTTCCTCCTTTTGACGCTTCGCCACCTCCCTGTAGGCATCCGACCCAGCATAAGCAATACGAAAACGAGTTAAAAGGTCCTGAAAAGGGACGACGAGTCAGATCAGTGAGAAGGAAACAAACGAGAACGAAACATGCCTCAGAAGAGGGCTCAGGCAATTCTGCTTCGAGAGCCTGAAATTGAGACAGAACTCGTTGGTACTCAGCACGGTCTGCCGCCACCTCCTCCAACGACCGACGACTAGATTCAAGCTCCTGGCTCCGAAGATCCAACGAGGAAGAGGTGTCGCGGAGGAGGGCGGTCAAGGTCGAAACCTGACCCCGGGACTGTGTAAGGAGCGCTCGGAGCTCCTCTACCTCCATCTTCAAACGATCATTCTCCACCCTTAGAGCGGAAGAAGCTTGGGAACGAGGATAGGGGCGCAAAGGCTCCCGGGTACGCTGAAGAGGCATAAGGTTCAATCAGAAGAAAAAAGGGAAGGAAAAGTAAACTGACCTGCTGAACAGGGGGGGTTTTTATTCTGCTCCTGGAAAAATCCTCCACCTCACTTGGAGGCACGAACTGCTCAAACGAACCAACCTGCGGAACGCGATGAAGGATCTCGGCGGAACCCTGCGATCGAGATTGGGGTACAGCCGACCCATGGGAATCTTCAGGGACGAGGTGTCCTACTCCCGGCAAATTGGGATTCTCCGAATCGGGAACGTGAGGAGGACGGAGGACGAGGACCACACGACGGTAATCCGAACCTCCCTCGACTCGAGGAACCGGAGGTGCGGTGGGGGACAGCCTATCCACAGCCTGTTCCGGACGTCGACGCTTGGGGGTAGAACCAAGATCCACCCTGATAGGTCGTTTGCGCTTTTTCGTAACTGGAGCACGAGGCAGGAGAGAGGAACCGTCAGCTAACGGGGAGGTACGAGGAACCGACGTCGATGGTCCAGGAATCAACGGTTGGCGCTGACGAAACTCCCGAAGCTCCTGACGATCAAGCTCACGCTGATCCTGATCATCCAAGGGATTCAATTCAAGGAGTGCACTGGTCGAGTTAGTGCTTTGTTCAACGCGATCGTAAAGGACCCGCCACTGCTCAGTCGGGAGGGAGTAGCGGGTGCGCTGACCCGGGTCTCCATGGACCTCCAGAAAACGACGAGCGAAAGCCAAGTCGCGAGAGCACTTACGAGAAAAGTATCGAAAGCGCGCTAATCGTCCAAGGACACACGGCTTTTTATCATCGCAGTTGCTACACCGAGCAAGATGGGGAACAAGCGAGCAACTGCCTTCCTTTTTACCTCGAACGCAAGTGGGACACGGCAGACCCGCAGCAGCCAAGGTAGACCACAGCGGATCGTCGACGATATAACGTGCAAGTGAGACCCCCACACCAAAGACAGACTTGAAAAGAGATAGCTGGCCAAGGGAGGGTTCCTCCACACTACTTACGATTTCGTCCACATCAGAGTTGCGTTGATTTGGGGAGGAGGGAGGTACGCCAAGAGCATCGGAAACCGAGGCAGAGGTAGAAGCGTGAGGCGCAGTCATGGCAGTCGAGTTTTACTCGGGTGATGACAGGCAGGAGGATAAAGAAGGCGGACGGGGAGGGGAAAACGAACTTATAAACGAAAAAAGTTCGATCACGTGAAAGCCACATGATATTTCGAAGTGAAACCTCCTCGGAGGCTCGGAGGAGTAAAAGGGGGGGTAATGTCATGCCCTGCCCCAAAAGCTCCCCTAGTCACTCTCCTAGACATCCCAGAACAGCGTATCAGCTCCCTTACACCTCCCAAATAACCTCCCACAAAACCTCCATGAACCACGGAACCCTAACTAACCTCCCCACCAACGCTAACCTCCATCTGAAGCGGCAGCTCCGCGATTCGCGTACGCCGCCGGACAATCCCCTATCAATTTAGCCTCATGGGTTCCGCACTTCACGCCAACCCCATTAGATGCTCGTTTATTACAATGTCCCGTTACTATTCAGCCCACCTATATAAGTATCCTCTGTAACATAAACGTCCCTAGCTTGGTATATTTTGAACACACACCCTTTACATAGGTCCAGTCCCTGTCCCTTTGTACCTGCTACCTATACGGAATTCTCTCTACTCTCTGTCTCTCTACTTCTGTTTCTCTCTACTACTGTCTATCGTCTCTCTGATCGTCTATACGATCGAATATACGCTTTTACTTCAAGTCTAAGCCTTCCGAGTGAGTCTCCGAGCTCCCTCGAACATTACTAAAGCTCCCCAACGCCTACCCGCTTGGTGAGCTACCCTTCCCCAAACCTCCCAGAGCTCCCTAGCTACTTCGTAAGCTTCGGGACCTCAGTCTAGGTAACGTCGAAGCTACCCCTCACGTCGAACTACGTATTGCTTCTCCGTTACCACCTCCCACACTCGAGGACGACCATCCTCAACCCCAGCCCCCAGGGACCTACCCTCCCTGGCGTATCCCTTCTCGGGAGCTTACACCCTCGAGCCCCAGTTGCATAAACTACCTACTCGATCCTATATTGACGTTCTAGCGAGTACAACTCCTACTACGCAATATCGTACGGTCCCGCACTCTTCCTGAACCTCCCTACGCATTAGGGACCTCCCTGGACCTCCTAGGAACCCCACAAGGGTCACCATCTCGTCGTTCCAACCACTACTAGGTCATTCCCGTCCTCGGTCGCGGTTCTCGTAGCTCCCTTCGAGCTCCAGCCTGCTCCTAGCACGCTACAACATAAACCTTCGCATACCAAAACCTACCCTAAGACCCATTTTGACCCAGGTCTTACAACGACCAAGCGAACAAAGGCGAACAAACGAATAATCCATATCATGTCATCGAGTCAAAACGTGTCACCTCCTTTCTATATCTCCTTTCTTCTGTGAAAAGAGACTTCCATCTCATCTTTGGACTAATGCATCCAAGTCCTAAAGCAATTTCTTCTTCGAGGAAGAGAAGACGTTCAAATTCTGCTGCCGCAGAAGGATCGTATGGCACAGTATGCCTCAAATATAATTATCACAGTGGCGAAGACTCATTCATTAGATTAGAAGATTCGATTCATCTCCCTTCAGCGGAATGATTCGGTAAGCCTGCTTCAGAGCTCCCCGTTGAATACAATAAGCTCATGGATATCAGTCTACACAGGAAATGACACCAACTGCTGTACGAAATATTCTTGATGTGCGTAAAGACCCAGTGCACAGAGGACGAGACTTTGATTTGATAGGCCTTTTGCAGAATTTTCATCAAGCAATTGAAAGATTGTCGACACAGAATACTCAAGAGAATTCTGAGGTTCGTCCCGAGTTGTTGTATACCAGTTTGAATGTGACTTTTGGCGCAGTTCGAATCGCTTATTGAGGAATTACACTCTTACAAGAAAGAATACCATGCACTCTGGACGGTAAGGATTTGCGCGTTTTTGACGGGGTACCATTCATTTCTCAAACTTAGAAGTTTGAGAAATATGAGAAGCAGTCGCAGCTAATTCAATCCCAGACGAAGTGTAACGACAATATCGATGACTTGGGAAATGCGGAAAAGGATTCTCTTTATGTCAGTCATATTTTGCCTTCATTATGGTGTCTAAATTTGGTTTTCCATCAGATTGCTCAAGTACAAAGTCGCATGACCGAGAACTCATTGTTAGGCACTATATCTGCTACAAATGTTGAACTTGATGTAAGGTTTGGTCCATGTTGTTGTAGATTGCTTTGTACTCAACACAAATCTGCAGAAACAGAGAGCCCGGGTCACGAATCAGGCATATGAGCTAGAAAGGTTGAAGGTATGTAGGAAATTTTGTTTCACTGAACTCCAAAGCTTCCCTCCTGTTCTAGACCATTATCAACAAAGATTCCCACTTAAAGAAGACCATGTCTCAGAAAATCAAGGATTTCGAACGGCGATTGCAAGTGAGGCAGTCTGAGTCTCTGAATCCCAGCACAATATTGATAATCCAATCGCGCAGGAAGAGAGCAAGGCATCGAAAAATGAGCTCAAACTTCAACGACAAAAAATGACTGAATTGAATACACTCAATCAAGGTCTCGAGAGACAGGTGGCTCTGTGCAAAAAGAATAATGTAAAGTCTATTTCAACTTGCTATAGTCGAGATATGTGATAAAGATCGTAGCATAACCAGGCGCTCATTGTCAAAGAAGCTTCGGAATGGAAAATTCAGTTCAAGAGGACTGTTCAGCTAATGGAGTCGGAGAAAACTGAACTCAATGGACTGTTGAAGGTAAATGGCTACTTAACTATATTCCAAATCTTCATTTACCGAAATCAATGACAGGCGAAAGATTGCGAAGTTCAAACCGCGAATGCCAAATGTGGAAATCTGAAGGTAGCTTTTGGAACTGATAGTTGTTTTCACGGTACTGATGATCACTTGAATAGTCCAAGGTCAAAGAACTGGAACTCATCGCAACAACAACGAAACAGCTTGTTAACGCGCAAGCTCAGGAGCTCACAACTGCGCAGAACAGAAACGATGAGCTCGAGTTAGTCACGAAACAAGAAGCGGAAAATCATACCAAGGTAATATCCGTGCTTTTCATCTATCTAACCCTAAGTCGTTTCATCAGGTCATTGAGGCCCTTCAAACGAGCGAAGCAAATGCGCAAAGTTCTCATGAAATCACAATGAGGGAACTGAAGGCATCCAGGAAGCAGAATGAAGAATTGCAGTCGGTAATCAATGAAATACAGGTAGGCAGTTCCTAATCAGATAGCGGCTTCGAAGATTCAAACATACATGAAGTATTCGAAAAGCGAACAAGCACAAGAATTAGACAATATACGAAAGGAGAACCTTCGCCTTCTAGATCGCAGAAACCGAGAGTACCAAGAACTTCACCAGAAGTATGCAAACCTGGAGTCGACGCTTGAAATTATCAAGGTTACTGGTATGGAAACTGTGAAGGTGCGTGTTGTTCTTTTAACTCATAACTCGAGTCACCATTTGAACTTGTTGTTTCCAGAACGAGAAAGAATGGAAGAGACAATCGAAAATTGAAAATGTTTGTGATCACGAAAGGGATTGGGAGATATTTCTCAAGCAAAATGAGAGGATTATGGCATCTTCTCATGCTGCTGTCCAGGTCAAGAACCACGAACTTCATGTATGGATATGGCACTCTACTTTGTAGTCTCTTCATCTTATGCAACTGCCCAGGCTAAGGACCAAGAACTCCAGGTACAGACCACCACTGCTTTTCGGTGTTCTTAATATCACTTGTCACTAGTGCAAAGTATCAGAACTCAATACCTACAAGACGGCGTTGATTGACATGGAAATTTGTGCCAGCAGAACCCTCAATTCTCTGCGACATCATAACCAAGAACTCTTGTCACTCGTTGCGGTGCAGGATGCTAAAATACAACAAGCTGAAATCCTCAGAAATCGGATGAAGGTAAATCGGTAGAAAGGGCATTACCACGGTTTCTCAGATATTGATTCGTTCTGTATCTTTCATCGTTCCAGGAGATGACTTTGGAACTAGAGAATCTGCAGATAGAAAAGGCCAATACCGAGCGTTCTCTTGTGCACAAATCCCAGGAAATAGAAGATCTCCATATCGAATTTCGTTCGTCTTTACAACTGATCAAGGAGAGAAATTATGCGGAGCTAGAGGCGCGCCTATCTATGTATGAACTTATCCTGTGATGCTTACCGTTAGGCAGGAGAAAAATCTGGAGCTTTCGACACTCAACAAAGGCAAGCAGGATGCATGCCTGTTGGCCGAAGAAAAGGATCGGATCTTAAAGAAGCTAAGGGACACCGACAATGAAAGGGGGAAAGAGCTAGGCAAACTTCGCAAAGAGCTGGAAACCGCCCTCGATGTGACAAGACAGGAACTTGGAAAATCGCAATGCCCGGTATGTAAGTATGCCCAAGAGAAAGTTCAGGTGTGTAGGCATATCTGTAAACTTCACCGTGAACTCATTGCTGATTAACATCTGAAAAAGGCGAATGAATATCCAGGTAAGGAATTGAGCCAGAAACATAGAGCAATGAATCATGCCCAGACGCAAACAGTCGATGGTCATAAGGATCTGGAAGCTCAAGGAAATGATTCTTGGACGACGGACGAGAGGATAGATATGTTATGCACGACATTGACAAATCAGCTATCTCTCGCGAGCGAAAAACAAGAGGTACGCTGAAATTGACTACAATTATCACAAGAAATAAACTAAGTTTTTGCTCTTCAGAAACAAGCGGGGTGCTCGGCACGTCGTCCAATGGCCGATATCCAATTGATATGTCCTCCACTCCCCGAACCGTCCGCGCACCCAGCACACCAAAATGAAGAGAAAGGGACTGCGGTAACCATCGTACTGCCAGTGAAAGCGCACGCTTTGCGGAACAGCGAATTGCAGGTCAGCCTATCCCTTTCTCACCTGTCGCCCGATGATTACCGTAGGTCTAGAACGACGACGCGGATCTCATACACCAAGAAGAAAGGCCGATTGACTCGCATTTGGAGAAGTCACGCAAAATGCTAGATGGAAATAAAATCGTGAAGCATATGCAGGTTCAGTCGAACACGGTACCGCTACGTTTCTGTCTTAGTTGGTTATCTCAATCAATAAAACATCATTTTTTAGGTCATGAATCGAGGCAAAAGACTTTTCACAGAAGACCAGTCCAGGGCGCAAATCGACGAATATGAGCCGGAACCACTAACGATACGAGGAGAGCCTCAACTCGCTGCTTCAAGAAAGGCATTTCAAGTGGAGCTACCTGTAGAGGTACCTTTCACCCTTATTTGCCAAGTCACCAGAGGATATTCATTTGTCCAGGAACCAGCACGAGAATTTGGAGCCTCGAACGTCGTGAACACAGAAACCGACAAGGACAAGACGAAAGTGTCAAATACAGAGAAGGCTGCAGAGTTGATGGTCGAACTGGTGGAGAACCCTGCTTTGACTATTCAATCAAAAGCCTTGCAGGAGGAACATTTCGACTCCCAAATGCGTGGGTTCAGGATTACCCAGCAGAAGTACAGAGACGGCCAAGTGACCATTCAAGGTCATGATCGGGAACTCGAGCTTATCAAGATCGACGCAAATGTGAGTCTTCTCCTCATACATACATAACACTGAAATAACCTAAGCGTGGACAGGAACGTTCACGAGAGCTGCAAGCTTTTGGAGCGAAAGAAGCAGCAGATAGGGCACTTACGCATGCGACAGCCGATTTACGGAAACAGATTCAGACCCTCGAAACGGAGTATCAAACACAGGAGAAAATCCTTCAACTTGCAAATGAGCAGTTACTCAGCGCTAACAAGAACCTGAGGAATATGGCAGCGGTACGTCCATGTCTAACAAAGCCAGACCCGATGAACGATAGAATCACTTCTAGGATTACAACAACATGCAAATGCTTGCCGCAGAAGAGAACACGCAGTTGATAAAAGAGCAGACCCGCACCACTCACTTGACTATCCAACTGAAAGATTGTCGTGAACAGTGTAGCTCTCAAAAGTCCGCGCTCGATACTGCGGAACAGCAATTGGAATCCCTTCAAAAAACTCTAAATGCCCGATGTCAGGAACTTGAGTCTTTGAAGGACAATATGGCGACTCAGAAAGACATCCTGGCTGAGAAGAATGCTCGACTCTTGGATGAACAAGAGCAGTCCGCTGATTTGGCCATTCGATTGAAGACATTGCAAAAACAAACTGATCTTGAGCACTGTAGACTAGAAGAAACATTGCAAGAATTGGAGAATCTCCGGATGAAAAATCAGGATCTGCTACGGGAACTAGCGTCGCTCAAGGATCAAAATATTGCCGTGAGAATCATCGCAAAAGGGACCAGCCAGCCAATAAATATGCAGGTGCCATCCGATATTCTTATCTCATTTTGAAATCATGTCTGAACGATACTGTCCAGAATCAAACGAATCAAGAAAGGAAGTATACTATGGTATGTCTTCTTGCCCTAGTCGGTGATTGACTCAATATCTTTGCTCAGGCACGAGTCGAGGTGGAAGCCCTTTGCTCCGAATTGAAAAACCTTCGTATCAATTAAGAGCAGAGAGGATATAAAGTAGAGCGATTACCTCGAAACTGACGGCTCTCTGAACAAAATTTGTTAGACGCAGGAACACCGTCAGCAGCATCGGATTGACCTCGAAAAAGCGGTTCGAGACAATAAGGTATAAATGAGCAAACATTCGAGGTTATTCTTCTTACCTAAATAATCCTCCAACAGTCACTCGAGGTCCGGAAGATTACAGATGAGTTGGTCGCTGTTCCAGCTTCAAATGCGGCGTTGGAGAATCAGGTCCTCCAATCAAAAACACAACCTCGGGGGAAAAGTCTACAATTCAAGGTGTGTGAACTCAGCTTTTTGGGTGTGTACATATATCTCACAATGAGGTTTTTCTACAGGTCCCTCAAAAGACACATGATACTCCGGCATCCAACCTCGAGACTCCAATTTGGAGAGGTCTCAAGAAAAGTTTAAGCAATGCTGATGTGGGAACGGAAGTTGCAACCAGACACAGCTACGCGTTGGGTTTTCGAAAGAAGGTGAGATTCAAGCCCCTCCACGATCACCCCTTTGTACCAATTGTACCAACATTCCGTCGACTCAGGATGCAGACGATGGAGAATATCGGTTCTTCAAGAATCAGCGAGCATCGATCTATGTGCGTTCAGATTTTGGTACGCACCGAAAGCATCTGCTTATAGCTGTTGTCCTGAACAAAGGCATCCAATGAATTTAACGACTAGAACAACAAGGTGAAACCCTGTTCAATATAGTCATCGTAATATGTGGTTTCTCAAGCTGGCACTGTCGCGAAAGTCAAAACATTGTTTCCGATTGTTCCTCCACTTATCGTGGCCCGAGACTATAGTCTAAGCAGTGAAGCTATTTTGGAGTGGCGCTGGCGGCGATGCTAATGTGACACCTTAGGCAAAAAACGATGTAATGAAAGACTAACCGTACACAAACATTGCCTGCGTAAAGATTAGAACCATTGTCAGTTGCACTGCTTTAAATTGATCACGACATGACGGAGGGCTGAATGTGGGACGAAATGTGAGAAGTGCGGGTATGCTCGTTGTGACTTGAAAGGAAACCACGAGCCTGATATATTTCTTTTGTTCGCTATGACCTTCGATTTCCACCTTACACAAACCTTACAAAATTCTGAAGGTTCAATTGTTGCTCTTGCATTTTCGAAGGACTACCGATATTTAGGAAGCGCAAGCAAGGATGGTCAAAGAGATGGAATTGTTCGAATCTACAATGTGGAAGTTCGATACCAGACGATATGGTACCATCGACAGTTATCTCAATTCGAAACTATCAACTGGGATAACGATTGCAGTCTAATCATGGGAACCGCGAAAGGAGAATTATTGACATTCAGTCCACAACTAAGAGTAAGCAATATCTCCACCTCTTCAGAAATCTGTCTTTCATCATTGTGTTAGGAGCGCCATGGAAAGCCCGACGTTGTTCATAAGTTCTCTTCACCCATTCACTCGATTGAGTTCAATGACTGCGGGAATGAAATGCTCACCTGCGCGGGCGATGATATCAACGTCATGAAGAAAGAAGGTGGTAAGGTGATTTTATTGTGGTGTGAAAACTGCTGAAAAGCATAGACCGCTGGATATTCCAAAGGCTCTTTCATTGCGTTATCTCTCCCAGTGCCAGTCATAATCTCCAATTTCTACCGGTTGTTGTTAGTAGCGCCCACTTTTTAGAAGATCAAAGACATTCTGTGATCACGTTTCTACATCATGGACTTTGGTATGTTTTTGGCTATCTTGAAAGAAAGTTTTTGACAGGGACGTTCTATTCAGGAAAATCAATCTCGAATCAGGCCATAGCCAATGGATTGTCTATCCGGACGATCAAATGTAAGGTTCCTCGTTACACTGAAATCTTCAATCTTTCCACGATTAATAAAACTCAGAGGGGCAACGGCAATCGCTCCAGATTGTACTGCACTAATGGTGGCGAACTCGACGAAAGGCCTTAACCTTTATATTTTATCCTCGGACTCTTGGAAGAAGAAGACTCACACATACCTTGAGCGTGCGGAGCTACCTATCATGTCAAGCACACACCTGCCCGTCATCTTCATAGATAAGGGCCACGCTGCGGTAGTGGGGACTGCTAATGGTTATGCAGTGATCTGTGATTCTGAGAATGGAGGAAGGATTCAAACTCTTCGTCATTCTTCCTGTAAGTTCTCCCTTAAAGCCGGAAAATTTTGCTTGCATCTAAGGTTACCCTTATGCAGCCGATTCTCTGATAAGCGGGCTCGTAAGGACATTCAATTCAGGGTGAGCTCCAGCAAATAACGCTGTTTTTAGGCATACCATGAAGAAAACCTTTCAATTGCAACCGGAGATGTGGACGGCAATATCAGTATCTGGGATCTGGGATCCCCGGACAGCAAGCGGATTCGAGTTTTGGGGACGCTTGTACCTGTGGCGGTCAGATATTATTATTCTTACGAAGATTACTCCTAAAACCCATACAGGTCCCTGCTGCAGTGGTAGAATGCTTGCGCGCTATTTCAGTGGTAATTCTGCTGGCACTAGCCTTCAGTTTTCTTCCCCTTACATCCAGACACATTACAACCGAATAAATCTTGCCAACCCCTTTTGCATCAACTCCTCGGCAGATATTGATACTAGCTAACATTAGTAACTGTAGCAATTTCTCGCCCTTGATAGAATGGCACCTCGAACATGAGCGTGCCAAGTATCCTCTGAATCAAGGTCTTCGAACGGAAGTCGTCTTTGTGCTTTGAATCTCTTTCGTTACAAATAATTAGTTGTTTAAGATTTCTAGATCTAACAACACCGGAAAAATTCCGCTCAACGGAATTATCAAAAAAACTAATATCATGTGATTGAGGATAAGCTATATCGGGTACATCAGCGGACCGGACATATCAGTTATGCTGAATTGTCGAGTGGGATCTTTCCGGTACATGCTGATTCTACTGTTATTTACGTCCAAATGAGCGAAGGTGAGTCAGGACTTCTTACCACTGATTGGAGCTTGATTGACTTGGGCACCAAGCTTACAGCAGTAATTCGAAACGCGCACTCACATGACAGCTCTCTGCTGTCTTTTCAGGAGAAAACAAAGGACATCAACACAATGCAGGGTATAAATAATAAATACGACGCTTCCACTTTGGGAACGTCTTGATCTCTTTCAACCTTTCAGCCTCTCATCTTTTCACCTTTCATTTCTTCTTTCCTTAGTCACTTATACGCGTTCGCTATGAAACCTTTACACGAAGAGATGTGGTGAGCCGATGTGACTTTCATTGAAGATTACATCCACTGAGATGACTTGCTCAACAGGAACATTGTATTAGGCCCGAATACCAAAACTTACTTCGTGAATTTGTTTCCTGGGGCAGTGGGACACAATCGTAATATCAAGATAAAGAGTGCGGCGTTACCGAAAAACTTGAACGAGCACAGAAGCTGTCGTACCACTATAAGTTTGGTCAAAGCAGAAGATTCCGACATAGACATTCTCAACCAACCACTTGTCCTCTGCACCCTGGTACCAATGACTGCAAGTATACTTCCATTCATGTATTGAATATCTTTCTCATATTGTGGTTTCCCCTTTCACAGATAGAACAAGTCAGATTGGATTTTGGCCTATTATTGAACAGCAAAGAATGCTATATTCACGTGGAAGGACCCAAGTGAGTTGTGGTGTTCTTTTTTTGCGAGTCTGGGAAACTGACCGAGTTTCTAGTCCGGTCAATATATGTATGCAAGCAATGACGAATAAAAGGACCCACGTTATTGGTAAGAATAAAGCTTTTTACCTCAAAGTTCCTGTCTTTGTTCCGACCTTCTCCCGACCAGATCATGAGAAGACACGATTGTTTCCCTCTTCTCTGACCTCCTCACCTCCAGGGGCAGCGAATGGTCCAAACGCAAACGGTGAGATCTTCAAGTTATGCATTGAATCCTGACTGAATACCAGGATCGGTAACTTACTCCGCAGCAACCCGAGTACGCGATCCACGACTCTCCCAACAATCACGATCACACAAATCTGGTGGGGCGACTTCTCTTCTCCAGAGAATACTCTGTAACATCTGTGTGGTTGTAGGGATTCCGCAATCAACCCATAATAAGACCCACTCGCTTTCATCTTCCTTCAACTCCTCACCTACGGGGATGACGAAAGGGCCAAATTTGAACAGTGAGATACATTACAAGACATTATGCATTGTGTTCTGATTAAGTCCAGCATATGCAGCATCAACCCGAGCACTCGATTCACGTAAGTTTCAGAGCCTTTAACCTATGCCATGTCACTTATCTGCTCCTCTCGCGGCTAGTTCCTGGGAACACGAAGTTGCATTCTCAGCCCTTTCCTCGAAAATCTCGAGCTGTTGACTCTCGACTTCATGAAACAAAGACAAACTCGACTGTGGATGGTACACACGAATCGAACTTCATGCATCGTGCACTGATTGAGTTCCAGGATTTGGAGCCTTTTCCGCATCACCGCGAATGCGTGATCCACGAGTTTACCAAGGTCAAGGATCGAGCCGCAGTGAATCTTGTGAGACAATTTTCCGTTTTAGATAGTGTCATTGATGAATGTCGTACACTCAAGCAAGCATCGGTTACCGCTCATCGTCCATTGTACCTCAAACTCGATTTCCAGCTTTCGACAACCGATGTAAGCAAATTTTCTTGGTTGTCGAGTATTACCTACTTACTTGACACCGCCGAAGCATATCCGAAAGACAACCTTCGATGTAAGTACAATTCCCTACTTCCGGCTTCCTTGTCTCATGTCTCCTATCTATCTCATCCATAGACCGACATGATAGCAGATACAACAGGAACGTTCCTTATCCTTCCAGGTTTCATACTGCCGAGGGTCAACATAATAGCGGGACACCAAGGTCATCTAGCGGGTCTCGATTTTCCAACTAACAATTCCGTCAATACACAGTACTTCGGATTTCTATAGTCAAAGTCTGTAGATCATCATATCACAGTATATAACACGTTCCTCGAGTCACTCGAGCCCTGAGCTCAAAGTAAAGGATTGTTAGTGTTCTATTCAGCCCCTTCTTGTCCTGGCACGTGTGTGTCTTAGCTTTCATCGCTTACGTCTATGTTCATGTTTGGTTCATGTATTCGAGATAAACGGTTTGGCTTGGATAATCGTATAATCCCTTTGGACAAAGCAACCGATTCCTTTCATATGTAACTCATTCATGTTGTCAAAAGATTGGTCATAGGAACAAAGGTAAGTGCCTATCAAGAGCCTAACACGACTTCACTGATCATGAAAGGGATCTGATCGTTTAAGACTAGTTCTGTCCGCTGGTTACCTGATTTTCTTGCCTCCAAAATGCCTCGCAAAAGGAATAGATACTCCGCACCAAGCGACTCAGATGGTTCCGACGATGAAATAGAACATGTTGTATGTGTCATGCCCTGACCACAACCAACCAGTCCCAGCACCATCCCACATGCTTCCTTACACCTCCCCAAGACATCCGACCTCCCCAAGACAGGACCACGGGTACTACGCACCTCCCCAAGACTATCCTGACAACCTCCCGACACGCGTACGAAACTCCTTAGCACCAGCCCCATTAAGTACAAATCTCGATCACCTGTCTCCTTCGACTACTGCCTCATGTCCCTAGGTTCCGATGTTCCCTTGTTCACTTCCCATACCTATTTAAGTAGCTCCGTAACGTCTCCAAGCGCCAGCTTGGTATATTTTGAACACACACCCTTTTGCATAGGTCCAGTCCCTGTCCCTTTGTACCTGCTAACCATACGGATTTCTCTTTCCTCTCTGTTTCTCTACCTCTGTTTCTCTCTACTTCTGTCTATTGTCTCTCTGATCGTCGGTACGATCGAATATACGCTTTTACTTCAAGTCTAAGCCTTCCGAGTGAGTCCCCGAGCTCCCTCGAACATTACTAAAGCTCCCCAACGCCTACCCGCTTGGTGAGCTACTCTTCCCCAAACCTCCCAGAGCTCCCTAGCTACTTCGTAAGCTTCGGGACCTCGATCTAGGTAACGTCGAACTACGTACTGCTTCTCCGTTACCACCTCCCACACTCGAGGACGACCATCCTCCAACCTAGCCCCCAGGGACCTAACCTCCCTGGCATATCCCTTCTCGGGAGCTTACACCCTCGAGACCCCGTTGCATAAACTACCTACTCGACTCTATATTGACGTTCTAGCGAGTACAACTCCTACTACGCAATATCTTACGGTCCCGCACTCGTCCCGAACCTCCCTACGCATTAGGGACCTCCCTGGACCTCCTAGGAACCCCTCAAGGGTCACCATCTCGTCGTTCCAACCACTACTAGGTCATTCCCGTCCTCGGTCGCGGTTCTCGTAGCTCCCTTCGAGCTCCAGCCTGCTCCTAGCACGCTACAACATAAACCTCCACATACCAAAACCTACCCTAAGACCTATTTTGACCCAGGTCTTACAGTATGTCATGAGTGTCAATGACTTGCATGCAACAACCGATACTAACTCAACTGATAGAAAGTTAGACTCATTTCCCCGCTCCTTAGCGATCGTCTCCAAGCTGAAAACTACACCCTCCGAACAACTCTGGCACAATTGACCCATGAAAGAGATGTGGCAGTCGGACATGCATTACAAACCAACAATGATCTTGCCTCTAGGCTTACTTTGATAGAGGTCCAATTACGAGCTAAAAACGCCTTGATTCTCGACATGGAGAGTCGGATAGGCCTCATGGTGTTTATCGTCATACCTTCCCAATTGTTGCATCCACTTAAAACTATTCTCATGGTAGCCCGGACATTACGCGAACGAGAAACAGAACAAGTTTGGACAATACATCGAGGTGTGTGAAAAGTCAACGTCATAAACTAGACCTCATATAACTAATATTTTTGAGTTTTTCAGAGTTTTGGAGGTTTACTTCAGCGCCTAAGAGAGGGAAGAACAGCGAATGAACAATATCGGTGTATCGAAGATGACAATTCAGTATGGTCATTGTCAGTTCTCACTTTCACACTCTAAGCATCCAATTCCAGTTTCTGGTGCAGCATTCTAACACTCTTCTGACCAATTTGCAAACTACTATGGAGGCGTATGAAGAATTGTGGAAGGTAAATCATGCTCAACTCTCAATCATCATCATACTGACATGTCTTCAAGGCGTTCAAGGAACTTCAGCAAGAATCAAGACCAAAGGAGAATATGACAAGAAGCTGGCATGCAGCCATGACTTCCCAGGTCATCATCCATTTTCTCTCCGATAATTCACGAGGTTCATACTATTCAAACAGATTCATGATGAAAGAGCCAGGAAACCAGAGGTACATACATTCTATCTGTGTATCATTACGAATATCACTCTGACGCTGGGACGAAGTCTCATTCAGCCCTCAATTTAAATCTTGCTCGTCACGGAAACCAGGAAATTCCGACGGAGGTAGAAAACTGTAAAAGACCCGCGAAATGATTCTGAATTTGCTTAGGCACAGACGTCAAACACCACAGAAGCAAGCAATAGCATAGATCGTCCCCAATCTGTCATATCTGCAAAATCAATACATGAAAGCAGTGACTTTCAATCAGTACGAGAAATACCCGCGCAACCACTGCAGGTTTGTGTCATTTTTACCAATCATGAACAGTCGAAACCAATTCCTTTCGTAGCTTGAGGGGATAAAAACAACAAGTTCGGAAAACAGCAATGAATCGATTGACGAGATTCAGTTGATGCTCATTGATCCAGAATATGGACCCATTGAAATACAAAATTCCTTGTTCGAAGATCCCGAGCAAGAGTACATAGACCAACTGTGCTCAGACAAGATTTTGATGCAGGTAGTATACCTCACCATCCCTTCAAACGTATTCATTTCATTGATCTTCTATAAGAACCGGCTTGATGAAATCAAATTGCTTCTCGAGCAGTCGCTGAGCAATTCTAAACCGGAAATTCTCGAGGTATAAATTACGCTGTCCTAATATATTAAGATCACTGAGTCCATCATATCTAGGAACATACACAAGAGCTCAAGTCGGTTAGAGCTGAACTGGCAATCTCGCGCCTGAAATATCAGCAGAAGGAGGATTTGATCGAAGAAAAATACCGCCAATCATCTCAGCGGCAGATAGAGAAAGAGAAGGACAAGCTTGAAACTGCTCACCAAAATCTGGAAGCGCTCGAAGCGGATAAGAAAGCTTTGCAGCTGAAAATGTTTGCCATGCAAGTCAGTATATGTTGGCTGTTGAATGTTTGATTCCACTGAATTTTTGCCATCTATAGACCCAATCCGCTCAACACCAAGCTCTACTGAAGCAATCCCATCGAAACGCTCGCGATTTACTGGAGGAAAACCGAGTTCAACACAATGCTCTTCAGACATCTATGACATCGAACAATAATCTACAGGTATCTAAATATCCTTTGAAATTTGAACTGCCATTTACGATACAGATCAAACTTGATAAAATCATGGTTCGGCTCGAATCATCGCTCAAGCAAACCTGCAATGAAAAAATGAAGGCAAAGATGCTCGAGGTACAGATTTCCGCCCCAGTGTGCTACTTGATTCATCTAATACATACCATATAAGACCCGATCGAACCAATTCATGAATCGCGAACCTCAGCTCGAACAATCCCTTCAAGATGCGCTCGATTCGTTGGAGATTGCCCGAGTTCAAACTGATGCCCTTCAGGTAATATTTTCTCACTATTCTATTGTGTTCTATGTTCACATCTTGGGATAGACCGAACTTAGTGAGATCAAGAACTCTAAAGTTCAACTTGAACAGCTGCTCGAGGAAACCTGTAAACCAAAAATGGACATGCTCGAGGTATAATTTTCTTCTGAGTTCGAGACGAGTCCACTTACTCGTTATGTTCAGAACCACGTCCAAGAGCTTGAGGCAGAGCTGAAAACGTCATGGCAAAGATATCAGGATGAGCTCTCAGTCAAAGAGCAATGCAGAATTCAATTACAACATGAGGTCGAAGAACACAAAGGCAAGCTTGAAGCTAGTCGTCGACGTCTGGAAGCACTTGAAGCGGAAAAGCAAGCTCTAGAAGTAAACTTGATCGTATTACAGGTAAAGCCCTATCTCAGAACTATCATTTGCTGTCAAGCTTACCCTCTTAGACCCATATCGATAGATCTTTCAGTAATGAAGCTCGATCCGAGTTGCCTCCCCAAGAACCCAAAGAAAGTTCCGCACCGCCTTTTCAGGATCAGGAACTTTCAACATTGCAACGACGTTGTATCCAACTTGAGATGTCGCAGCAGGATGCGACATCCAAATATGAAGCACAGGTGCCAATAATTTGACTTCCGTGGCTCGATATCAGCTTTATTTCTTGCAATTTTCTAGGACAATATCCTACAAACGATTCGAACGGAACTTTCACATTCTCGAGAGGAAATCAAAATTCTAGAGGTTCGCGCGTTCATTTTTCGACTATTCTTGTCTTGAAACAAACATGTCATAGGAACTTCGTGATTCACTCGAGGGAGAGTTGCAGTCACGGGAAAAGGAGGTCCGAGCTTTGAGAACGAGTCTGCTCACAGTACAGTCAACATCGTCGACTGGTATAGGTTACTTGGTTTCGGTCAGTAATCAAGTTGTCAAATCTTATTTCATCATTGACCGAGGCTCAAGAGAACTCCGAAGAAGGAGACAGATGAGACTTCTCCAGAGGTGGGCGATGTTGTCCTTTCCACCGCTTCGCGTTTGAGTAAACCATGTGTGGTAGCTGCCTAATAACCGTAATTCAAAGGGTGAGCGGAAAGTTGTGTGCCCTACTACAGATATAAGTCCGGAAGCTGGAGGGTCGAAATTCCCAGCCATTCACTCGGAGAGTTGTCTGCAGCTAGACGCTCAGAAATCGTTGCGATTTTCTCCAAAGGTGACCTTCTATCTTTATGTCAGTGTCAGACTGAACATGATATCTGTACAGATGGACGCCCTCAGCACGGACATTATCCATGACGTGGGTTTGACTCACAAATAAATAACTAGACGTCTGAATCCTTTGTTGCAGGTCAATATGGACTGTCTTTCCGCTCAACAACGTCCTTCCCAAATGAGTAATATGCTCTCGAGCATCCCGCCATCTTCAGGTATAACATTCAACGTACGGTCGAATAACGATACACAACAACCTGTGCTTTCATTATCCAGCAGTGGCAATGTACGTGAATCCTCCTGACTAGATATATCATAAAGTGTTAAATTTGTGTCACCTCTGGCTGTCTTGTATCCCCTGAGCAGCCTGGCCCTTCACGCAGCAATTCATCGCCGTCGAAATCCGCGGCCACTCCGATCACAGGCTTGAACAAGACTCTCTGTCATACCCCTATCGAACGTCCATTAACTACCGCACGAAAATATGAATTATTTTTATCGCCATCGCTAGTAAATTGATCTGGAATCCTTTCTTTGTTGATCTAACACCGGTTTTAGATGGGCGTTCGTCGCCGGGACGGTCGATTTCCTAGGAATGGCTCCTCCAGAAGAACCCACCGTTCTATCTACGTACGTCTAACAAACTTGATCATTGCGAACGACTGACCAATAGCAAAATCTGCAGTCTGAAACCGTGTCTGACGAGCAAGGCAAAGAAGTGTGACCTGGGACTTTGTTACAATCTTACTGTCGAGTCCTCATATAAGTAGATATGATATTTTATGTGATCGAAGTACTGTATTAGAAACTACTCCGGGCCGGTGTTCATCTCAATTTTGGCGTAACTCCCTTCTCAATTGCACTTCATTCGAAATTCTTACCTTCAATATCCATTTGGTATGTCGAAGTGGAAGAAGAAAAAGACCACTTTCAAAGACCTTATCGATGAAGAAACGAAACACTTACAAGCTGCGCCATCCGCGATATCTATTAGTACTTCATCAGCAACGATCTCACTCTCGAACTGCAATACTCCAATAGCTGAGGCTGATCCGAGGGAATCTGTTCGTGAATCTATCTCTCTCAATAAAATCTAACACTATCACAGGTTATGAGAGATTTTGGGCTGGCCGACGCTGGCGTTAAAGTTGGCGCTATTGCTCAGAAGGCCTTAAAATCTGCCGACCGTCTTCGAGCTGTTATTGTAAATGCCCGCAATGGATTCCGGGAACTTACTAGTACTTCTGATCGACAAGAGATTCACACTGTTTGCGACAAAGCTGATCGAAGCCTCGCATATGTATGCTCTGAACTTTCGAAGATTAAGAACACTGCTGCAGAAGAGAAAGTCAGGGAGGTATGGCAGGACGTGAATGCTCTTGAAGATATCCTGTACGATTGGAGAACAGCCTACCCAGATGATACATCCCCTATCAGAATCAACAATAGTAAGTGTTCACTTTACTGTCACCGTGATCCTTAGTGATAAGATGTATTCATAGCCAATTCCTTTGGACAACCCGAAGAAAAGCTGAATGCGCCCACCCTGATTGCATATACCATCGCTCTCGTGAATCAAGTATTCGAGGGAGCAGCACGTCGCGGTTCCGGGGTGTTACTGAAAATGTTGAAATTGTTTGGTTATTCCTTCATTTCACTTGTTGGACAACCAAACTATATTCAGAGGAAGGCACTGAATGACATTCCAGAATCGATCCAAACTGTAGAAAAGGCCCTGAATCTAGATGTTCAGAGCATTCCTTATGCGGTATGCCCTCGTTGCAGCTTCACACACATCCCGACCTACCCTAACGGGCCTTCTGATCCTGTCTATCCCACTCATTGTAACGAACGCCTCACTGAACTTTCGGATCCATGTGGAACAGACCTGCTGCAGGAAGGAAAACCGATCAAGGTTTATCACGCCTACTCCTTCTATGAATGGTTTGGCCGTTTCATTGCTCACCCCGGAATAGAGCAATACGGAGACCGTTTCTGTGACGACATTGCCTCGTTTGAGAAAATCCCGGACACAAAGCGAGATATCAAAGATGGCTCATTTGTGCATACTTTCAGGGGACATGACGGAAAGCTTTTTCTTGCTGAACGAGGAAACGAGGGAAGATGGGTCTTTCTCTTACATGCCGATTTCTTCAACGTCGAGGGGAACCGAATACGGGGAAAGACAAGGTCGACGGGCATCACATCACTAGTGTGCCTCAATCTGCCCCTTTCCATGCGCAATGACCCAGCTTGGATCTTCATTCCTGGCCTCATCCAAGGGAAAAGTGAACCCGACGCTAAGAACTCGGAGCATCGTCATTATTGGCGTCTCCTCATTGACGAGTTCTCAGCTGGTTATTCACGAGGATTGCAACCTCATCACACGTATCGATCTCGTTGCAGCGGGGAAGGGCTCAACGAGCGTGTGTTCCGGGTCGCCATTGCTGGAGTTTTGATGGACTTCAAGGCTGCCCGCCCTTTTGCAGGCTTCCTTGATGTCACTTCTCATCACACTTGCTTCTTGTGCAAGTGCTGGCATCGCGCTCATCTAGGGAGAACTGATTTTCAAAATTGGAAGACTGCAGCTGTTGAGTTTTTGAAAAGAGGAGCTGAGGCATGGTTGAACGCAAAAACGCCGAAAGAACGAGAGGAAATCGAATTTTTCTATGGTACCCGATATTCAGAACTTTGGCGCCTCCCTTATTGGAATCCCATAAAGCAGCTATTGGTTGATCCCATGCATATCTTCTTCCTCATCCTCATGCAGAGGTTGGCCCGTGAGGTTCTGGGCTTGGATAATCCTGAGTCTAGCGAGGAAGAACACAGGAAATCAAAGACATCTAAGAAGAGTCAGCAAAAGAATTCCTTCATTTCTTTCTATCATGATTTTACTCCGCCGCCTCACTCTTCCGAGCTCACCTCCTCAATCGATACCACCGCAACTGTGCCGGAAAGTCTGGGACTTGACGAACCTGAAGCTGTAGATCAACGACTCTCTGTACTCGAATGGGGCAATCTCCCTTCTGCGGAACAAACTGCTCGTGTTGCCAGAATGGAACAACTTAAAGAAGAGATTCAAGGGAATCCTAGAGCCTTTCAAGGTATCTCTGACCTTCATTATCTATTGTCTCAGGGCCTTCCAGTCTCAAAACTTCACTGTGATCGTCTTCGAAAGCGGTTAGGGAAATTCAAATGGGTTGTTCTGGCTTATGTCTGTAATGACCTAATGGAGTTCCCAGACGAGAAGATGGAAATATGATTGCAGCCCCGTTTTCATTCCAGAGGTAAAAAGGGCATAAGTCGGCGAGAGTTTGGAGATGCTTTGTACCGCTGGGTGAGTAAATCATTTCTTTTGAAGCTGAGTCTATTTAACTCGATATCTCAAAGCTGTTGGAGCGAATCGTGAACCCGGGTCAAACATTTGAATGGCCACACTTCATGCCAAAGGATAAGCCCGCCCCTTCGATTCCCTGGCTACAGCTACATAATATCCATGAAAATCAACGCATGGACCCCCTTTGCGTACCGGGATCAGAAGGTCGCTTAGAATTGTTGGCAGAGACGATCAAACGCTTCAACTGGCATAGTTCTCACTCGGTCGGGCACATACATCGTTTCCTTATCCAACCAATCGATGAACTAGTCGGTGATAAACAGCTGAAGGTCAATTTGAATAGGCAAACGTTGATCGCACTCTCCTTTGTCTGCATTGACCTTGACATTCTGCCCGAGGGTAAATTTGGAAAAACGGAACTCATCAATCAGCTGGTCAAATGGGTACGTGGATATGAGCAACCCATGGTCTTACTCTTACAATGGGTTCTCAGCGCCTGACTAAACCGTTGAAGCCCTTGCCACGGGTGTGTATAGCATCAGATAAGGTCCTGCAAATGGTTCAAAAATCTATTCGTGAAACTGTGGTTCCTTCATGGATCACTCGCCCACCATCCGACATGGGACTTCAACAAGCAGGAACTTTGAAGGCTGATCATTGGCGAGTTCTGTTCAACATCCATCTACCCTTCTCTTTGATCCGCATGTGGGGCAAGGGATCTCCTTCAGCAGTGGATAATGCTGCTGAAATGACTCCTGTACTGGAGACCTCTATGCATCTCACTTGTGCCTCCATTTTGATGACTTGAAATAGTTTGTCCCCGAAGACCCGCGATCAATTCAGATCATCTCTGAGGGACCATATACTCGGTTTGAAGCAAATCTTCCCAGGATTCATGCTACCTACTCATCATTTGGCATTCCATATATACGATTTCATGGACGGTTTTTCTACTGTACGCAATTGGTGGGGATTCCCATTTGAGAGATTGATCGGTAAGGTTCAAAGGATGCCCACGAATCATAAAATCGGTAAGGAAATCAGTGCGATATAGATATACACTGACTGTTGAAATTTCTAAAGGTCAATTGGAATACACCCTATTGAAGGTGTTTTATAAAGGGGCCTTGTTTCGACGTTGGCTCATGCGGCCTGATTGTCCCGATATCCTGAAATTATGCAAATATCTCTTGGACAAAGCATATGGTTACAACACTGTTGAATCAGATGAAGATGACAGTGACGTTTTAGATGGCACCGAGGTCGCGGAAATGATGGAAGGTAAAAGCAACAATCCTCCACCTGGTCACAAGGTAATATCAGGATCGGTTAAGCTCCCTCTGAAGCTTGCGAAACGAGTGGGAAATCTTCAGCCGAGATGTTATTCGCAGATTCCGGCGGCAAAAGGCTTCTATAGCATTCCTAGTCGTGTCGTTGGGAATAGCTATGTCTGTTACCACCAGACTAAAGATGTCCAGAAACCATGGGTAGCAGGACAAATCCAATACATCTTCGAGGATGAGGGGGAAATCAAATTGGCTATCAGACCAAGTAAACCATTCACCGGACACCGTGATCCGTTTGCACAGTTTGTTGACCAAGGATTCGACTGCAGAGCGGTATCTTCCCAATTCCTTGACTGTTATGATATTGTCACAGTGGATTTTATTGTGGGGCATACAGCAAGGTGGGAAATCGAGGCAGACTTTGTTGTTGTGCTATCTCTCGGGCGGGTGAGCTGTTCATTCATATACACTTTGAGTCAAGAAAATTGATCAATTAGCAGGAGTGAACACTGATATATATGTCGCTGTGGATTGTGCTTTTGTACTCTACTCTCATGCTGTATCTTAATATGATGGGTTCATATATTTGATTCGTCTACAACAAATTGGATTGAGGAACGAGAGGAGAGTCAAGGCGAGCCTGAGCCCGAACCTGAAAGAATTTATCACAATTACTAGTTACAGTGTGAAATATTTCGATTGTCGCGACGATGATTTACTAAAGCCTCCATGACCTGGCGAACATCTCCAACAATTTTTAACCAGTCACTCTTCCCTTCAGTCTTGTCTTCGACCGATCGATATTGTAAATTTGTGCCCCACCATTTCAGACATACAACAATTCCGAACCAGCCATTCAATCCGAACTTATCGATAGACTTCCATTCATGAGACCCTATGTGTAACGAAGACGATTTCTCTCCTGTCGGTCCCTGTCTCCACGCTGGCTGGAAAGACGCCCACCAACTTTTCACGTTCTCAGCAAAATCGATACCACAATCCTCAACGTTCGGTTCGTTTGCCCTGGATTTATACCGTTTCTTGTCTACCCACTCGGCTAGCAGCGACGGACGGTTAAGTGTTGGGAGCCGCACCTTCGGATTTGTCCTCCATTGGGTTGTTCGCTCGAGGTCAATCCACGTAGAGACCAGGTTCTGATACTCCGCACCCAAATCTACATTCACATATGCAAATGCATCTGGAAACCAAAGCAAGGCCTGTTGATTGGACGTCGCATCCACAGGATATTGCACCAAATCCACGAGAACAATCTGTGCATGAATGTCAGTAAGAGTAAGGCTCATAATATACAAGGGACCTACAGAGCTCCGAGAATTGATTTCTAGCCAAGGGCCTTCTTCAGCGATGTCCTTTTGCTGTTAAATGGTCAGGATTCCGTCAAACAAAAACTTGAGATGCCATACAGCTTGAGAGACCACCATCCTGGAACGTGTCTGGGGAGCCCATCAGATCATAATCATTGAGCATATGACGAGACGCACTACACTGGTATCAGCCAGAGGAATGTCCAATTCAAGACTTCGCATCTCATGACTGAGTGCTCTTGAGATTCCCTTCACCCACTTGAGATACATATAACCAGATGAGCATCACTTGAGCTTACTTCGTCAAAGGCGCCGGCAATAGTTGAGGGCTGATTCTACGTCAGCTCAACGTATTCTATTCGGTGACTATGGAACTTACGTGTTGGTATTCCAAAGCAAGCTATGGTCTTCGAGTAAGTAGCGGTTAGTGAAAGATATAAATCGGGATTACGCACCGTCTTTTGATAGGAAGACATTGGTTCAGTTGAGACGATATAGGGTGGCACTTGGCTCACGATATCGGTATGTTGCGGAAGAGACGTCTGCGTAGCAATATGGTGAAGCTCCGGGCGACCAGCTGGAATGCTCGACTGTGCCGCTAAGTGTAAAATGCGTAGCGTACAATGGATTATTACATACGTAAAGCATGTCTGTTTGGATAGCTACTTCCGTCTTTTGTTTCTGAACGTCATTCGTCTGTCAAAGAGCATTGTTAGAGCTTACGATACGGGGCCGATAACCAGTTGACCTGTATAAATGTCAATCTTTCATTCAATGCATTATTCTGAGCTTTGAGGCGAAATATTTCGGCTTGAAAATTCAACGAATTTTTATACAGTTGGGCTACTTCGGTCTTCGCGCGTTCGAGAGCTACATCTTCGCAGTACTGAAAGGAAGATGAAGAAAAGATTAAAAAAGAGACTGAACTGATATACGAACCGTTAAGCCTGACACTTCTTCGTTGAGGGCTTGAACTTCCTGTTCGAGCTCGTTGATCCTTTCCTATAAAGGTTTGGCTCAATTGACTTGTCACCTGTAGAAGAATGCAACTCACTTGTTGCTGCCTGATGAGTGGAGAGCTCGCAGAGCTTGGCACCACCCGAACTTTGGCCTTCGATATACGAGATGATTTTTGTCCACTTGTATTTGGGGAAAAACTTACACTGCAATCTAGGACCTCTTCGGAACGAGGTCTTTTGAACAATTTGCTATCTGAGCCGGTGTACATCGTCGACAGGATAAGACTGTGCAGTGGACACAGAAAAGTATTTCATTCGAGTTTTTATAAGGCAAAGGGTCACTCATTGGGACCTTTGCTTCCCTTTGAAACCTAAGTCTCTTTGTTTAAATATGTGACAATGTGACTCGTTCTTCCCGGGTTGCACCTTCAACTTCCGCGCGCACACAATGAGAGTTTGTATGATGTCCTTCGTGTTTTGAAAGAATTGTTGCAGCAAGTTACAATGGCAACGTTGAAGTGGAGGAGGAAAAAAGTGCGTCGCTCAGAATAAAGGCAGAATTTCAATAAAGGCAAACATTTGATTACCCCGGCCCGTCCTTAAGAAAGGTGTAGGCATGTGATTGAGCTGGCGCAGACCGGACGCAGATCATGATCAAGAGATCAGATATAGAAAAGAATAGATTGGACAAGGTGATTACATTGACAATTACATACATCCTAAAACAAGATTACAGCTAATCCATGGCTGGAATCGGGAACCGCTTCTTGGTCAAGATTCGAAATTGTTTTTTCTGGTGAGGGAACAATTCATCCAGGTATTCTGGGCGGAATATGTCTTGCGGTAAGCCTTTGGGTGGATCTCGCTTGTCGACAACATCGTTTGAACGAATCCGCTTGACAGATAATCGTCCCTGTTGGGTAAAGATCTTCAGTTCAACTTTGGGCGTCTCGTCGACCTGCTGAAATATTGGCGCAAAACTTTCATGTCGAAACCAGAGGATCTTTACTCTCTTCACGTCCTGTTTGGTGCTGACCCCATCTATTACCACGTCCTCGTCGCCACTTTCTTCGTCCGACATACCACCATCCCCCAACACCAATAGAGCATCAATGACGTATGACCAAAATGTTATTCCTGATTCATCGCCCCCATCCTGACAGAATTGGACCATAATAGTCGCAATCTTCAGGCGAGTATCAAGTTTCTGTGGATAGGTGTTAGACATGGGCTACTGATTGAAATGATATGTAGGCATTCACCCAGCGGCGAAGGCCTGAAGACTTGGTAGACACTCTCTGGCGTTCGCTCGACTCGGTGATCTGGTCTGCTCTCTGCACTGGCGTCTCATTGGGAAGAAACCGGAAGTTCTCAATTAAGCGGTATAACTTGTTGAATCTTGCTTGGAAGAGGGCCCTAAAATTCACTCGAGATTTTCCGAACCGCCCATCCTTGTGCGCCAAAAATATCCTTTCAGCTTCTTCCGAAAGTATCTCCTGCAGCGCATTGTTCCAATGTGATTTCCGCATCTGCTGGATCGTGAGTCCTCGCCAGTGAAGTGTCGTGTTGACGAGCATGGGCTTTGCTGCATCCATGCCATTTAGATATGCTGTGAGCCGGGCGTCGGGTGTCGATGGAAATTGTGTGCGAAGGACGTCATGATTGTCTTCGATATTCAAAGACTTCTGATATAGATCTCGAGTCATATTCTAGGTGGCTTTCAGATCGAGTTTCCATGCATTACCGATGGAACTTACATTGAGGTTGTTTTTTACATCAAATGGCTTGGCCAAATGTTTCAATTTCCACTTGGTCGCAATTACACGTTTGTTGCTCTCCTGATCATCGTCGTCATCGTCATTGTCATTATCGTTATCGTGATCGTTGTCGTTGTCGCCGCCATTGCCGCCGTCGTCGCTTGGTTCATCGGATTGATCGTCGTCGTCGTCGTCCGGGTCATCCGATCCATCAGAATCGTGACTTGGCTGAGGCGGGTCGTTTGCAGGCCGAGATTTCTTTACCTACAACAACGAAATTCATCAGGAAGGACCCGAACCTTAAGATTCAGACCTTACATTAGAAGGTATAGTGTTCGTACGACGATTGCTTTTAGCCCCAGTGGCTCCAGTGATCCCATTTGAATCACTTGCAGCTTTTTCCTTTCCTTTGTTCGCACTCTATCATTTGAAAAGATTAATAACATAACTTTGACTCAAGGGGGAGACTGACCGTCTCGACAGCTGCAGCATCATCTTGCTCTTCCTCCTTGTCCTCGTCCGACATGTCTTGAGACTATCGTGGGACGAATCAGTAAGATGCTGAGCAAATGAGTTTGCGGGACGAACATATCTAGAATTTTTGCTTTTGAGGGATACTCTGGACGGTGACGAACGAGTTCTACTGGGAGAATTTACTGCCTATAAACGAAAAAGGTCAGTTCAATGAGTCATGTACACAGATTGATGGGCAGTTACCGAGGGCAAAAACGTGAGAGCATACTTTCTTCTAGTGGCTAGATGATGTGCAACAGGAGCATGACGAAGAGCTTTCTTCAGACCCCCTAAGGGTATCGCTGTCAGTTCATTTTGCGACGGGGAGACGGGGATAGCGGATGAGTGTGACGGTTGTAAATCTTGCAGGGAAGTCGAGCCAGCCTGCCCGTTGAAATTGAACTCACAGAGTAAATTCAGAATCAAAGGAACGTACTTTGTGTTGAGATGATTTACTGGGTGGACTCCGAAATTCTTGCGGATTTTCCCATATAGTAGGACTGTTGTAAGCTTTGTTGACGTCTACGGCACCTATGCTCATTCCAAATGGTGAAGAATTGGGGATAACTCCAGGCAAGGAATAAGGAAACTGTAGTATGGAGGAGAAGGTAAGCCGCAATGATAACGGTGATATCTATTGACAAAATCAAGACGCACATTATACCCTGTTTGCGATTGTACTGTCACAGGACGTCTAGTTGGAGTAGGTGTCCAAGCTATGTTAGATTGCACAGGGGGGGTTAATCCACCTGCTTGGAGACGCGCTAACTCTAATTGTAACTGTAGAATTTGATTTTCCATTGCCTTTCCGTGGCTCGAAGCAACTGACAGTTCATCTGTCAACTCTGCGCAACGAGACTCTGTCAACTGCAAGCAAGATTGTCGGTCATTTTCCCCAATAACCACTGTGTTACATACCTGGAGTGTACTAGTAGTGGTTTTCCATTCTGCATCTTTATCTTTGTACGCTCGTTGAAGTTGTTCGAGCTGACCCTGAATCAATCATGAAATCAGTTATTTGCCCGACTTTGACAAACAAGACAAAAGCTCAAACAAATTGTTCGTCGTAGGCACTTTGTAATTCATTGAATCGGCTCTGTCAAACGGTCATGGAGGACTGAAATATCAAAAAACTATAGGTTACCTTCAACACCCTCTCTTCCCGCATACTAGAAAGTTTTTGACGAAGCGCTTGGATTTGGTTCTGGGCCAGAGTAAGGATTAGGCGACGACAGACAGAGAATTCCAACCTTCAGATTGCTGTCTTCGCCGTCTCTTGCCAGTAAAGTACTTCGCAAGTGTCGTAGTTCTGATTCTCGAGATTGCAGATCAGTTTCGAGTTCATGGTGAGATTTCTGTGATTCATTGAATGATTGAATATTGGCAAACTGGATGACTCAAGCACTGACCTCTAGATTCTTCATATCTTCACGGAGGATATCGAATTCGAGGGAAAGTCGGTTCTGTGATTTACAAATGAGAAATGGTAGCAAATATTGAATGTGATCATACTTCGAGCTCATCTCGTCCATCCTCTCGAGTGTCGTATCCTTCTACTATCTTCTCGAGCTGAGTAATGTACTTCTTATCCGCCGGTAGCTGCTGTAGCTTCCCATCGGGGTCTTGTTTTGAATCATTTTTTGCCTAGACATTGTTTCAGAGAGTGTGAGTGTGAATAGCGATGTAGTTTATACCCACACTGGACTCGGAATCCTCCTCTATAGGTTGTAATTGGATACTCGGTGAATCTTGAAGGCTGCCATTGCCTAACGAAGTTAAGGTATGAATTTTGCTCGCAATTGTCTCTACGTCGGCCACAGTAGTCTCATATGCCTGCACATACTTTCAAAAAATGAACTATGACCATTGAAGACATATACTGACTGCTCTGAGTTTCGCGTAGTCGACACGGCATTTCTGCAACTCTGTCTCCACCTTGGTCGAAACACGTGCGTAGTTCTATAAGGTCATCAAAACTCGCCCCGAAAGGCATAGAAACCCACTACACACTGAGTCATTGTCTGCAGGACTTGCCAATGGTTCCTTACAGACCCCCTTCAAGTAGTGCACCGTTTGTGTAAGGTCCTGGGGACGATATGGCTTCATGATTTTAGTGAGGGACATAAGGACGTACATATAGAATGACTTCCACCGCAAACTTTCGAGCGTCATAATGATCACACTGTCTTTGCTGTCAATGATATTGTCATAAGAGGAGGATTGTGCATACCGATGGCCCGATCAAGTTTTCCAACTCGCACTTCGACATCGCCTGATCTCTTTGTTCTATTTCGAGTGGCAAGGATGGAGAGCCTTCGGTCAAAGCTCGCAGAAGAATATTGTGTCGCGTTCCTAGATGGACAAGCTGTACTTGTAGTTTATGAATCTCCGCCCGTTGATCGTCGGTATCCAACGCAGACACCAGTCGAACTTTCTATTGGGAGATCAGTGGCACTGAGAGGATAGAAATGGCAACTAGAAGATATACAGTAGAGTTCCGTTCTAAGTTGTTCTGAGTCGTCGAAACTCACTTTGGCGAAGATGATGGAGTATTGCTCGAATACATGAACCATAGAAATGAACGTCAGTTGAAGAAAGAAAGTCGGAAAGCAGAGCACTTTATAACAAAGGAAGTGCCGGCTCCGGCACTTTATCATTTGGATTATGGATCCAAGGTATATGAGATTCGTCTTCACCGTAAGATTGTTCACTCGTTTGTGACTCAGATGGCCGCAGCTCTAGTTGAAACACTGGGACATTTGCTACAGGAGCGCAATGCATGGGCTCGAAGCAGTCAACTCCTCTGCTCTGAGTGCAAAATTTCTTCTTCACATTCACCAGACATTCATCGACCCGCTGGTATACCAAAAACAACGACGTAGAGATTGATGTGTAGCTGGCCACGAACCATAAATTACACATTGTTCACCCCTTGGGCACCATTTGAATCGCCGGGAGCTCGTCGCTAGCACCTAGTGGGTATTCGAGACTATTGAGGATAGACAAGGTGGTACGAGAATAGGTGCACGACAGCCTCAGGCACGCATCACCGGATACTCGGACCGGAGATAGTATACAATCAAATATATTCATTTACATAATATCATTTCCGAGATAGAGTACCGACATGGAATATAGAAGACTGATAAAGGAAGATGTTCAATGACAGAGAATATCGTCCAACATACGGAACAAACAATCTTTGGAAGGTCTGTTGCCCTCGTGGTAAGATTTCAGCAAAGCCTTGCGGTGAATAGAACGAGCGGCGTATTTCGTGAAGTTCATACTGCAAGGGCATTTGACCGCAACTACTGTATCGTGGTGAGGCCGAATACCAAACTGAGAGAGGAACGGATGTGAGTTGGCAGAAGTCTGAGCTAGACGCGAGACTTTCCAAGTCCAAGGGTAACAGGTCAGGTTGAATTCAATTACAATTCGCGAAGCGTGAAGACCTTGGGTGCGAATGGAGTGGCGAATTGCATCGCGGCACTCTATAGCTTGGATGAGACCTCGAAATATGAGTTGTACCTGGTCCAGATCACCGATGATTGGGCGGGCATCGTCATATAAGTTCGTGGGGTGAGCTAGAAAGGAGATATCAGTTGAAGTATTGGTCGGTGAATGAACGACTAACTCACTTAAACGTTGAAGATTGGCCTCAGAACAGATGTTTCCATGCCCTGCTTTCCAGTCTTGCCGTTGGCAAGACCTCGAACAATAGATTGCGATCAGGCAGCCACTACAGAGACGTGAATGTTTGCCCGCCCAATATTGATGAGGGCACTAGGAAAATAAAGGAGGTCAGATGTCACAAGTTGATGCTCGAGTAATGCAGACTCACTTTCTCGTTTGAACATACTTCTTTTAACGCTTTCCGAAAGGAGGTGACACTGGCATAGCGTGCGTCTGGTGAACAAACCGCACGCGTTAAATGAACCCACAGCCTCCACAAACTTCCGGAACCCAGATGACCTTCGAGACTTTCAGATCGTACCCCCTTCAAATTACGACGGATTCGTTTCTGAACTGATTTATAGACCGAATGGATGAGCAGCGCATTTACAAACTGCTCAACAATTTGGAACATCGATGACTCTGATTTCGACTGCGGCCCGATTTGCATCCAAACCAATGTCTTGACCATCAGATGCAATAATTTAGCATCGAGGGCTTTCACAATCCAGTTTGGACCGCCGGTGACGATAAGTCTCGAAGAAAACCTAGCGAGACAATAGACAGACATGAAACAAATATTCTCTAGATATGCGTTACAAGATCGGGGTGTGTCGAGGCATTGGGTCCATAGAATAAATATTTGTTTGAGCATGATGTGAATTCCATCGAGTCTTGGAAGGGGCAAGAACAAGGTTGTTGCTGCTAGAACCATTCCTTGATTTGCTGTCGCAAGCCGATGTTCGGGATTAGAAGAGTAAGAGGGCACCTGCTGTCCAAGTAAGTCCTCGATGGCACTAGACCACGTCGGCAGTAGCTGGAAATCGGGAAAGGCGTTCCTCACAGCAAGATGAAAAGAGTTGTCGGAAGGAGTATCCTCAATCGTGCAACGGAACGCAATCAGAAACTGCATTACAGGGTGATACACAGATAACGACCACTGTCTCGTGAAAGACAGTACCCAGACTTTCGCGAATGCTGGCAATGCTTCGGGATGTTTCATCATGTTAATGACGAAGTCGTTGAATTCGGTGGGGGTACTCTGGGTAGGAGATGCGATGGATTCCAACAAAGAAAAGACTTCTTTCAGGCAGCGACTGGTAGTAGCAAGAGAAAGCTGCTTCGAGGTGGGTGACGCCGGTACGAAATCGTCGAGTGGCTTAAGGAGAGCCATCAACCACGTCCAAATTCGGGTCCACTCCGGTTCCACGATGGCATAGCGGATTTGGAAGGACGGTATTTTCCATAGATGAAGACTCATCGCCTGCATGACCTCTAGCACTCGAACGACATCAGAAGCTAAAGGTCGATTGGCATAAATGACTGGAGGTGACGGAGTGACAAGTCGAAAAAATGTTGAGGCGATGGGCTGCGAAAACGAGTGATGAGCACGAAAAGTCGCAGAGCCACGAATACTTACCGTGTTAGTCATGTTTGTTATCGATTCTAGAAAGCGATGTGCAAATATAGCGGGGAACAGGATATTGGCAGAAGTACAACCAATGCCATCTGCACTTATATATCTTGGCTGAAGAAACAAAGGAAAGAACAAGAATAAAGCATGGGCAGAAGAAACAAAGGGTGAATGGCACACTGTACACGCTCTGAGTTGATAAAATCTCTCAAAAAAGATGAGATAGGATAGATAAATAGATAGATATACGGCGCCATCCGAAGATGTGGTCCCAAACGCGGAACAGCCGGTCTCGAGGCACTGGCGGCAGCGAGCTCAACCCGCAAGGAGAAGGTATACTACCGCCAGGTCAACAAGGCCGAGGTACGTAGTACAAAGATGGGAGGAGAATTCCACTTCCGTGAGAGATCAATGGAGGTGTTACCAACTTCACCATTCATGTGGCTCAGAAGAGAACTCGTAGCTCCGCAAACAATACTAGAACGATCTATGTATGTACATACTTTGACTGTACGAAGTGTTAATCGGAAAAGTGATACCCACCTCTACTAGAGGGGCCTGGTGCTCTACGGTAGCTGAACTTTCTATTTCTATCCTTCATCGGAGTGCGGTCACTGGACAAATGATAAAGAGTCCTGTTGTATGTTCGGCGGTCTGTGAAAAAGATAGATAAGTGGCAATAAGCGAGGCAAAGTGCAAAAGTATGAGGTTGGACTTACATCGAGGTCTGTCTTTCGGGAATGCTACGGTGTTGAGTTAGTAGATATACAGCAACGAAGAAACAAGGCTTACATTTAATATCAGAAGTTGAATACCGTGTCTGAGGTGCAACGAATGATCGAGGGCAAGCTGGGGTCTCATATCGACCTCTATGCCGACCTATATCACTCGTCAATATTACACAGTACTCACTCACGATCTCATCTCACCAAATTCAATGGTTGGACTTTGTCGTGGGTAGAGTTGAGGACCTTGGACTGGTATTAATGCAGAGGAACCTTCTAATCCACGAGTTAGTCAATACGCAAAGATCAATGGAGTAGGATATATCTCACTGTTTATGCCCGGGGATGAAGACATGGAGGAGAGCGATGAAGGCTTCGCGTTATGAGGACCTAGCAAGAAAGTGAGTGGGAATGGACATAGGTAACATGAAATCGAAGACATTACCATTATTGTTTGCCCTTTCTTTCAACGAAGACTCTGACTGCAGCCGCTCAAAGGTGTCGAGAGTGATCCCTAAACCCCTCAAATATTACACGATGTTCCGTGAAAAGGACAATCAACTTGCCATATTCATTTGAGCTAGATCGTAGGCGGAGGCGTGGATCGCGTACTTGGTTCGATTCAGTGAATGAATTATTACATGCTAATCTGAGAAAGGAACGTTGACTCACCAGATTCATCTGAGCTTGTTTGTGGACAGAGAGGTGGATGCACTTGGTTCGATGCAGAGAAGCATTCAATTTTTTGAAATCGAATTCAATACGCAACGCATAATGAGATAGAACGAATCTCACTGTCCACACTCGGGCTATTCGCTGTCTCCAGAGATACAGAAGTGAAAGTGGAAGGCAGTGAATGCGTCTTTGCCTTATTTTGACCTGGTCAGGAGAGGAGCACAAAGAAATGTAAACGTCATGAGCTGTGGGTGAAGAGTTTCATTCCTACCAGTGACGCCAACCCTCTCATTCTCTGAAGGAGCCGCTTGCATTGAGATATTAACGGAACTAGACTCAATCAGTTGCACGAATTCGCAGATTCGCAGGAATCACTTCGAGCTCACTTTGGTCCTTCCGCAAGAAGATATCCTGCTTGGCTATCTAATAAGAGGGTGAAATCCAATCGTGCTTGCTCTATCTGTACAAAGAATCAGGGAACTTTTCACCGACCGAGAGAGTTCACTTATGACCATTGGGACCAGGGTGCAGAGCACAAGCGGTTGCTTGAGTGTCTTATCGCCGGGATCTTCCTCTCGAACCACACTTATGGTAGTACGACAGAAGCTGGACTCATTCAGTTTGTTTGTCAACGCAGCATGATCTATCGTGAGACGACGCCGGCTTCCGACGACTCCAGGAAACAAATCCTTGAAAGGAATCTTGGTATTCGGACTTGCAACAATGCTCCTGTTGAGCCTATCAGTCAGTGGGGCAAGCTCAATCCAAGTATTTGGCCTACCACATTCTTTGATGCAAAGGCTTGGTACCAAAAGGACGATGCGCGGTTGAGAGAGCGAGAGCTAGAAAGATGTAGTTATAAAGAGACAAAGGGATAAAGGGACGGAGAGTTTCATTAAACATCTCGTGGTTGTATTCTGCATCGTGTTCGAAACCCTTTGTTTCCTTTGTTAACGAAGACATCATGTGAGCGCGCGTTGAAGGGGAGTTCTTCAGATGAAGTTGGATGGGTGCTTTGTAAGTATCAAAAAGGAAATTTTCATCGATATGCTACGTAGTCTATATCCCAGCAAGATCGTCACTAGACAAAGGACCTTTGAAGATTCGTTGAAGGTTGACGCGTTGACGCGACGATGAAAGGAGTTTATCATTACATAATCACTGCGGCATGCCTTCCTATGAACCAACAACAAAGGACAAAACTTTCAATGAATCCATGGCACGCTATATAATAAGGTTGCTCCGCCTGCTGGTCGAGTTATCTTCCCTTTGCATCTTTCTACGTCAGTTTCATTCCTCCAGATCTTGCCGAGTGGTATCTTACTGACACATCTGACATTAGAATGCGCTCAAAGACAACTTCTGTAACCCAAAAATCTCGTGCTCAAACACCAGATCGAGCATCCAAATATCAACTTACTGGACCGTCTCCTTTTCGTCCTCGTCCTCGCATTACCTATGGTAAAAGTTATAAGAATCGATCGTTACCCAACAGTCCTTTCCGCCACCAGAGTCCTCTAGTTGCATCGACTTCGACCACTTGCATGGAATCTTCAGCTTTAGATTATGAAGATCCAATCGTAATCCCTGATACTCCTCCCTTTATGAAGGTTCCGGGTCTTTCTGATTCGAAGGATACCTCGTCCCCTTCAGTATTCACAAGGATCAAGGTGCCATTTCTCTTCTCATCCGTAATATCTACACTCAAGATCCCTCTGCTTAATTAGATGGACGACCCGTGTGGACTCAACAATGTCGGACCGGAAATTTGCCTGCAGGTAAGCGTCGTCATCTCTGGTAGTGTGTCTGTGTCTTACTTCACGGACACAGTCCTCACCCGCACGATTAACCAGAGCATTTACGCGAGAAGCGAAGTTGAAAGACGCGCTCGCTCGCTCTGAAGAGAATCTCAAAGTTGCCCTACAAGATGCTCAGGTGTGTTATCTTTGTACATCGCTCACTACCGAATATTCTGACCCACTTTCAGGACGCCAAGAATGAGATCAAAGCTTTCAAAGAGGCGGAGAAAGTCCGCAGCGAATGTCCTTGTTGCACGCAAGTAATGTTGCAACCCTTCATGTAATTCTTTCAAAACTGCTGCTTGGTATACGAAGGACTTATTATTTGAATCAGCCTTTCTTGTGGACATACATGCTGCAAAGAATGCCTTGTCACATTAGTAGACCTCTATATCAAAGCGAGGATGAATTTCGCTTGTCCCAGCTGTCGCGCGGTTCAGGGGCGTTTTACACCAATTCCCAACTATGCCTGCCAATCCATTGTCGATGACGGTAATACATCTACCGATCGTCAGCCGTTGCAGTGGCCGCGGCAGTTTCGTTCTGGGCCAGTTTTTCTTCCATTCCCTCCGAGCAATGGAACCTTTCCTTTCTTGCATTCCCGGGCCCCGACTGGGCCTGCAGCATTTCCCATTGTAATCGACTAATTAACTCTCTATCTCGTTTTACACATATGATTCGTAACATTCTATCTGTTCAAATTTTGAGACTCTGGAGTCCACTTTTGTAATATTTCAGTAATGGTAGTCTGTTTATATAATTACTTCGATGAAATCGTTGGTCCGACGTTTTTATAAACGAAGTCTTCCCTCTCCTTAAATGTGAACGATGCTATAAAGGTGGCTGAACATTAGTTGCATTCTCTTCAAGCCGAGTGTTTGAATCTTGACTCACAACCTTCGGACCCCTGTCAACCGCCATGGTGCACGAGAGGATATAATGTATTATTTCAATCTACGCAGTATGAAGCTGAACGTTTGAACCGTCTAGATACATGAAATCGGTTCACTGAACCGCACTTTGCTTGAGACTGGAATCAGTCAGGTCCATTCAAAAGCTATGTGGAGGCTCGTGAGATTTGCTTTGAAGCAATGCCTATTCTGTTGCAGAACACGGTCGCTCACTTATCGTGTTGTACGTCCATACATTTTCCCGAGATCAGGAAGATGACTGAGGATAATCGAAGACAGAAGTCTTCCAACCATATGCGATCAGGTAAGAGTTCAGCAGCCGTTCAGCTGATGAGACGAGCAACTATTTTGTGCAGTTCATAGTCACAGTACTGCAACATGATGGCATCTGAAACTAAATTGGGAAAGGGATATGAAGCTAGATACAAATCTTTCTAGGACTAAGGGTAACAAATATGAACCTAGCCTGAAGACAATATCGTCCGGGACATTTCGCCAATCCAAACTCGCTCAGCCATAATCACAGAAAAGAACAAATTCAAGCGGCTATTGCGCATCAGAGCGCAAGTCGAATCTTCATTCATGACCAATTGGCTGGGGACGAAGGCCACTGCCATTTAGGTTGTATCATCTGGTTTTTTTGTGGAATTTCTTGCTGTTCTGAGGTTGAAGATGTCGGAGGTGCTGATGAACGAAGTATGAGGATTGGAGGTTGATTGGAAGGGAATTCCGATAAATAGTGATCTGTTGAAAGGAGATTTTTCGTGAGTCCGAGACACCCTCCGAACTTGGTCGTAGTCTCCGATCAAACAGCAGAACAGACAAACAACAGGCATCATACCTTGTGAGGAAGGTAAATGAATTCTGCACCGAGAGCTGTGGCTTCGGCCACGAAGAAGAATTGGCGAACGGAAACGACTCCTTCTGGATTCGATAATCATGGGTGCTGCCAGTGTTGCAGATTGTGCGGTAGGCATAGGTAGACAGATTAAAACGGCTTGGCGGGCTGACTTTGCTGCACGATGACCTGAGGAAGGGAAGTGGGTCTATGCCCTGACGATGAGCGAGATCTAGAACAATGGACATGCGTCGTATCCGGTCTCTAGTTCCACTGAGAGGTCCACTTGAAGTTTGGTTATCAGAACCCGTAGGTGGTGTATAGCTCCCGCTTTCACTTGCATCATTGTCTTTGCCGCTGGTCTCCTACAAAGGCTGATAACCACTGTTGCTACCACTTCCGCTGCCTCCACTGGATGAATAATTTCTTGTGGTACCAGTCCTTCTCCTCATCGCAGCCGTACAATTCAGCGCGCTGCGAGAAGGAGATGTAGGCCAGTAGGATGAAGACGTGCTGCTTTGAGGATAAGTGGTGGTGGTTAAGGTATATGGCGAGCCCGTGCGATGTGTTTCGAATCAGTCAGAAAGCGAAGGAAAGAGGGTGAAAAGAGACAGCGTACCCAGTGTACGAAAAGCCGGTTGCTGTGTAAAGTGATCCTGTCGTTCCAGTATATGGTGAGTATATCGATCCAATTCTATAAGGTGGTTTAGTATTAGCCTGTAAATCATGATGTGAATATGGATCGGATACTAACTCTGTGTAAGGCGAGCCACTATAAGAGCCTGATCCATATCCAGCTCGCGACTCGTAGTCAGTTGTTAAAGTACTGCCGGTGCCGGTTACACCACTGGTCGCAGACTTGTTCTGACGTGCCAGGGTATATTTGAATTATATATCGACACTTTCTATCCATTTGTCGGCGTCCAATCCAGTTTCAACCGGGCGTGAAACGGGTGTGCAAGAGACTTTCAGTATTATAATGCTCCACCTCAAGTTGTTTGCGAGACGAGCCAGCCAAAAAGGTGAAGCACAAGGAGATGAGAAGAAAAAGTTGCCAAGACTATGGTATCGAATTCGGATTCCACTTATCGAACTTAGCCGGTTTAGTTCGGACCGGTCTCGTGGAAAGAGAGATAGGTGAGTTACTTCAACTTGACCCTGAATATTTTATTTCAATCGTTCTCGATCTCTCGTCAACCAAAATCCGAGCCAAGCGACTCAACAACCGCTTTAGGGTCCAAGAAACTCTCGAGAAACCTGAGGCCATGCAAATGCAAAGAGCGGGACGTTCTGAGTTGGGTGGAATTCAGACCACATAGCTCAAAGTACAACGTCTGAAAATATTCTAGGAGCTGAAAGCAGCTTCTTCATTCCCAATATATCATGGAATCTGGATCTAAGTGGTCACCAAATTCAATAACAGCACTATGCAGGAGTTCATATAAATCACTTTTTGATGATTCAGTCTCTACGTTTACTTGTAGTACACCTCTTCCACATGCCCGCCATACCCAAGGACGACAGAGAATCCTGGTAGTTGGACCTGGTTTGTGTATGACGATACACCCAATTCCAACACTGCAAGCTACGTTCCGGTTCACTCCTCCACCGTTCAACTCCCACCGTCGATCTACGATATGGCAACCAAGGAAACCCCGACTCTCTTCTGTCTACCTCGAATTTTTTCCCTAAAAACGCTATGCTTCCATATCGTCACTTCGATCTTCTGGCAAGAATATCTGACTAAGTTCAGTTCATGTCAAATCCGACGTATAGAGTCTTGGTGAAGTCCTTATTCGGAAGCCTAGACGAGTATATTCCACGTTAACACGGTAATCTCAGCTGTAAGTAAAAAGCTTGCTCCGGAATAGAGACTTCATTTGCTCATTACCATTCGTGTCTCAAGGAACCTGAAATATTTGATCAAAATCAACGTTCATATCCAATTCCTCGTATTTTGTCTCTTCAGGGAAACTCCGGTGAGTTCTGTGGCTGCTCAGCCTCAGCCCCGGTATTCCTTCCGGACACCTCCAACAAAATGCCTGGACATGCGGGGGTATGTGCTTTCAAGAGTTCACCCATCTCTTTCTATTCCTACCTGTTCTGTCATCCGGCTTTTGAATATACGGGATCGCGCTCACAAGGTCCATATCGTATTCCCAGGATCTCTCTCAGTCTCGAATTATTTGACCAATATTCCAAGTAACAATGGTCAAGCTATGTGTGTGTTCGTTTGGTTCTTGCTTAGTCGCCGGACACCTGTATGTGTTCATTTGGTTCTTGCTTAGTCGCCGGACACCTGTATGTGTTCGTTTGGTTTTTGCTTAGTCGTTAGACACTTATTGCAGCTCTCCATCTTCCTCCCTGCACGATGACTCGTCGGCCTACTCACAAACTACAGAAGCTCCACGTTCAACGACTTCGGCGACCAATTTCAGCTTCGGATGGATTCGGCTGGATTTATGCCTATGTCGACTGGGGCATTGAATGGAAGATTGGGATGACGAACGACTTTGTGCGGCGTCGGAAGGATTGGGACCAGCACTGTCCGTGTCTAAATAGGACGTGGTTTCCACCGATGCCGGTCGCGAACCGACGCAGAGCGGGTACGTCCTACAAAACTTAATTTTAGCAAGCTTTTAACTGTCCCCAGAGTCAGTAGTCCACATTTTGCTGGAACTAAAGTGCATCGATCGGCCCCGACTCTATTGTCAATCATGTACGACGATTCACTTCTATCATTTCATTCCTAACGTGTGTTAGGTTCCCGAGTGCATAATGAGAAATTCGTTTTCGCTGGTCATCGTATGCACGTCTGGAGAAAAATCGTGGAGCCAGCGCTGCATAGGGCAGCAATTGCTTAAAAGTACGTGGTCACACGTTAGTTTATAACTTATGATTGACTTACGGGCAGTCTATAGGAGGGAATTCGCGTATTGTTATGATTTTCTGTATGTAATGAGATATGCAATTTTCGCGTCGTATTTATGACGACGATTACTTAGTATTTGAACGCGAAAACGATCGCTTTAAGCCGGGGAAGATAAGTACTATTTCGAGAAAGGATGATTCGAAACTTATAACAGCTTGTAGAGGATGCACTGTGCCGTTGTAATTTAGGAGGAAATGATTTCAGCTTTGGATCTTCGTTGAACCCTTTTCCAACAAAAGAAAGTTGGGGCAATTGACTTATTCGCTGAGTATCTGTTATACTGCATGTATATTCGTGACAACTAACCTTTTGTTCGATACGTTGTTGCCTCAGCAGAATATTGATAATGCTAAAGGCTGATTCTGGAAATAATACTACAACATGACCAGTACCCGCCCTTCTCTCGCAGAACGCACGGCGGACGGGCGCTGCGGCGGGGCACTTGACGTCCTTCGAATGTCTGCCCTTCTCCTGATGAGCTCCTGGTGAGCTCCTGGTGAGCGCCTACCGAGCGTCCATTTTCTTTTTCCCGAGGAATATGATTATTTTATCTTAGGACAAAGGCAGCGATAAAGCTTTTCATTGGCGCCATCTATAGTATATCCATATTCAAAGGTATCTACAAAGAAAACCATAATCAATTTTATCCCAGATAATCACTGATATGTGCAATCGTGTGCGAGGATACAAGACATTGATTTTCGTCGGCAAAATGGTATTCATTTCATAGCAAGTATTGCGTGGAATTAACATTGAAAATGGTCAAATATTACATTTTCCGTTTCAAGTGCAAACAATATACCTTGTCTGGACATTATCATGTATAAATTTATATACTTTATCTATACCATATATCCGTTTAATTTTCTCACAAAAATTATGGGCCCAGCCGCAGTGTGAGGGAAGTACAGTACGTCTGACCTGAGCTATCTCCTGCCTTACGACCAAAGTCCTTGCACAGCTGTACGTCAGTGTGAATCACACAAATGGATAGATGGATAGTACAAGCCTCAACTTGAAGAGACCTTAAGATGCCACTGGTTACATAGATCGGCGGCTCCGTCTTACGATGGCCGCCACTAGGGAACGACTGGGAACAGCCGGGCCCAGCCATCTCTGCCGTAACAAATGCTGATCCTATACGGGATGGTGGACCGCAGTGAGCATAGAGGGAATAGTCATTAATGTACAAGTTGGGTGTCTACAATCATGCCATATACATCTAATCAGTCCCATGTGATCTGTACCAGCGGGCTTGCAGAGGATGAACATACTCAGAATATCTCTTTCCTCTACCTCCTATGACTCACTTCAATGGACCCTATCTCTAGATGATATTGCAGCAAACAAGTCACATCTCACTCAAGTGGACACTCGAATTCCACAGGAGTCGCTGAATAAAACCACTGGATGTGAATGGAGGTTGGCGGCTGATGAACAAGTTGCTTCATCGAACACCGAGAATTACCTTCATCATCGCTTACACAGGGAGAACGTTCATGCTTGAGTTCTCTGAAATACGATTTGATTGAATTTGTGATGATATCCCAATTTTATGTACATGACTTCTGACTTTCTTCACTCTCTATTCCAAGATTTAGCATTATGATAAGCAATAACTGTTCTGAGGAAAGTAAACTCTCGCTCGGTTCACATTACATGTCCGAGGTTAACCTGAACAGATTTGACCGCAGTATAACTTGAGAGAGGGAAGGACCGAGTAAGCCAGCGACGATGTGAAAAAATTCAAAAAGCTCACTTGTGCAAGGCGTACTCGCCGAGTTCACGACCAATACCTGACTGTTTGAATCCACCAAATGGAACGTTAGCGTGAAGTTGGTTCACACAGTTGACCTGAGAAATATAAATGAAACATCAACACATATTGAATGGAAGCAGGATGTACCCATGCAGTCCCAGCCTTTAATCGATGAGCAGTGGTGAGGGCACGAGTGATATTCTGGCTGAATACAGCGGCAGCTAAGCCAAACACAGTATCGTTTGCTTGTCGAATGACATCTGAAAGACAGGATCAGATCGTACTTTCACAAAAGAAAAGCGAAGATTCACACACCTTCCTCATCCTCAAACTTGATAACGACACCGACTGGACCGAAGATTTCCTCTTGGACAATCTTCATATCAGGTGTGGTATCCGTGAAAATTGTTGGGTTGATGTAGAATCCTTCTGTGCCAACACGGTCACCACCCAGGTGAACAGTGGCGCCTTGATCTTTTCCGGATTGAATGTATTCCATGATGCGCTAAATATATATATTTATGACTTTATGAGTAGGCGTTCCATGTACGCATGCAATGGTACGCACATCATACTGAAGTTGTGAGACTTGAGGACCCTGGTAAGAGTCGAGATCGAATGGGTCTCCAACCTATAAAATTTAATCAGTACGATGATCGTCACGTTCGATTCCTGGAGTTCCTGACCTTCAAAGACCGGGTCTTTTCGGTGAACTTGGACAGGAACTCATCGTAGATTCCGGATTGAACAAATATACGAGAACCGGCACAGCATGCTTGCCCGTGGTTCCAGCTAAGAACGTAGTTACAGATACGTTCGACACTCATGAGCTAAAAACCAAAGGCTTACTAGATCCCATGAGCTGCCCAATTGACGGCTTGATCAACATCTGCATCGTTAAATATAATGTTCGGGCTTTTGCCACCAAGCTCGAGCGTAATGTCCTTCAGATTGCTCTTCGCGGCGGCCTCCATGATCTTACGACCGACCAGAGTGCTACCAGTGAAGGCAACTTTGTCAATCTTCATATGGCTAGAGATTGCCGCTCCAACAGTGTTGCCATATCCGGTGAGAAGGTTGAACGTCCCGGGTGGAAATCCGGCCTCGTGAATAAGCTCACTCATGCGAATTGCAGTCAGAGGAGTAAATTCTGAAGGCTATAAAAATGTCAGTGCAGCTCCCTCCAAGGACGAGCAAGACTTACCTTCATGACAATGCAGTTTCCAGTAGCGAGAGCTATTTGTACGCGAACATGAGGACAAAGAAAATTTCCTGAAAGATACATTCAGAACATACCAGGACCAAGTTTCCACGACATCATAAGCAAAGGGAAGTTCCATGGAATAATCTGACCAACAACGCCGATTGGTTCGTGACGGGTGTAAGAGAGTTTCCTCTCGTCCGTCTTATCGAAATTGTTAGCAACAGCGACGTCGCTGATCAATTTTGACACCTACCTCCACTACTTGACCATGGATCTTGTCAGCCCAACCAGCGTAGTAACGAATCGTGTCGATAGCAAACGTGGTATCAACGTCCATTGCCCAGGTGAAAGTCTTGCCTATAGTAAAAGATAAGCTTATCCAAAATCGAATTTTACATGGAACGTACCGTTGTCCAATGCTTCGAGGGCAGCAAGCTCCTGCTGATGTTCTTCCATGAGTTGAGCGAGTTTTGCCAATAATCTTGATCGGCCTGCGCCTCCCATGTTGAGACCCCAGGTAGTCTCGAAAGCTTTGTGAGCTGCAGCTACAGCGACATCGACATCCTTAGATGTCGCTTCGGCGACTTTCGTGATTATCTTTCCGGTGGCTACAAAGCGGTCAGTGGCGAACAAAGCACCAAGAAGTGCAGCAGTACTGACCAGGATTGATAACACTGGAGGAGGGGAACACCATTGATTGAGCATCGAGCTTGAAGATGATGATAAAGAATGATGAGCTCAACTCACTCGATTGTGTTCTTGTCTGAACCTTCCACGAATTTTCCGTTGATATAAAGGCCAGTATTGAAAGAAGTTTTGCCCTTGTAGATGGGGGTGTTGAATTCGTGAGTGAAAATGGAAGTCATTGTGAGAGGGATGTGAAATGCTTGAAGCGAAAACCTTTGCGCCACTTATAGCATTTCGAGAATTGGTAGCCGAGAAAGGCATCGCGATCAGTTAAGGGGGGGTCATTCTGGGTCATGGGGCCGCCTGTAAGCTCCGATCCTTGTCCGCTTCCGCAGCCCGCTCGCTTGTCGAGTGTCGATAGCGATAGCGATCTTGTTCTCCGTTTTCTCCCGCTGCAATGAGAGAAATTAGCCAGAAATCCAAGGGGATAAAAGTAAAACAAGGAGATCCTGCCGAACAATAAAAGCAGGGTACAGCTGGAATTCTTGCATCTCTTTAGTTAATACTTGTAGAATTGGCCCTAGAGCGGGATAGCGGGCCCCAGTTCTTCATACCAATTACCCTCCTCTAAGCTCTTCCTCGATGCGCGGCCATATAACCTTGTAAGCAGCTTGCGGTGACATATCCGAGTCGTACTAACCCGTATTATCGAGTGCTAACCGGATGCACACCTATTATATAGACGGACTTTATATTCATTAGTACCTATACCAGCTCCTTTTTGGTTTGTTGTTTTGCATTCGCTGTCATTGATATGTACAGTCTTGTTATATAGGCCAAAGTTGTATGATCACCATTGCATCTCATTGCAAAGAAATTATTGTCAAGATTGAGAGACTCAGAGTCATGATCATCCTCAATGTCTGTCAAGAAGATGTACAGATTAGAATTGATTGCGGAGAAACAAGAATTACATTTTATATAGTAGAAAGCCCAGAATGTAAGCTGAGTCCCTGCTCAGGCGGGCTTGAGACCCTGACGCTATAGTATGAACATTTAAACAGCCGTGAGTGCATGCCCCGAATTATACTGACTCCCATCCTACTATTTACATGACATGTCCAAGGTTGACCTGAACAGACTTGACGGCAGTGTAACTAGAGAAGAAGACCACACATCAATCATGATACAAGTTCAGAATTAAATGATGCTCACTTATGCAGAGCATATTCGCCGAGTTCACGACCAATACCAGACTGTTTGAAACCACCGAATGGGACATTGGCATGCAATTGGTTCACACAGTTGACCTTGATATAAGAAATAAATTGAAAGTTCCATTGAAGTTGAACGTAAAAGCGTACCCAGGCAGTTCCAGCCTTTAATCGATGTGCAGTTGTCAGGGCACGGGTAATATTCTGGCTGAATACAGCAGAGGCTAAACCAAACACGGTATCGTTTGCTTGGCGAATGACATCTGGATGGTATAGATATTGGCAAGTGTAAACAGACAAAAAAAGACAGAAACTCATATACCTTCATCGTCCTCAAATTTGATCACAACACCGACTGGACCAAAGATTTCCTCTTGGACGATCTTCATGTCGGGTGTGGTGTCGGTGAAGATAGTTGGGTTGATGTAGTATCCTTCTGTACCATTACGGTCACCACCAAGGTGGACGGTTGCACCTTGGTCCTTCCCAGATTGAATGTAACCCATGATACGCTGAAGATACGAATTCATGATGTTTTCTTTTGAGCACACGAGGGTATACGTACGTCGTATTGAGCTTTTGAGACCTGAGGTCCTTGGAAAGAGTCCAGAGCGAATGGGTCCCCGACCTTGAATAGAATCAATATGAATCGTTGGCAATCAGCATGGTAGCATATACACTGACTTTCAATGATCGACTTTTCTCAGTAAACTTCTCTAGGAATTCGTCATAAATTCCGGACTGAACGAAAATACGAGAACCAGCACTGCATGCTTGTCCGTGGTTCCAGCTACAAAAATTGTCAAGAGACGCGGCATTTGGAAGATAAAAGCCTACTAGATCCCATGAGCTGCCCAGTTGACGGCCTGATCGACATCTGCATCGTCAAAGATAATATTTGGGCTCTTTCCACCAAGCTCAAGTGTTATGTCTTTGAGATTGGTCTTCGCGGCGGCTTCCATAATCTTACGACCAACCAGGGTGCTACCGGTGAAAGCGACTTTGTCGATTTTCATATGGCTTGAAATTGCCGATCCGACAGTATTTCCATATCCAGTGAGAAGATTGACCGAGCCCGGGGGGAATCCAGCTTCGTGGACAAGTTCGCACATCCGTATAGCAGTGAGAGGAGTAAACTCAGAAGGCTAGAAAATTTAAGATGGGACTGTGACTCTGGCTGATGATGTTCAAAGCACTTACCTTCAATATAACACAGTTTCCGGTAGCAAGAGCTATCAGCAGGTGGATCAGTAGGTAAATTAACCTGCACCAAACATCCCGAACATACCAGGGCCAAGTTTCCACGACATCATGAGAAGTGGAAAGTTCCACGGAATAATTTGACCAACAACTCCAATTGGTTCGTGACGAGTATACGAGAGCTTCCTCTCGTCCGTCTAATCAGGATCGTTCGTAATCATACCCAATCCCATGATTGCTTTTAACACCTACCTCCTGTACTTGACCGTGAATCTTGTCAGCCCAACCAGCGTAATAGCGAATGGTGTCGATGGCAAATGTGGTATCGACGTCCATTGCCCAGGTGAAAGTCTTGCCTGTAGCGGAAAGTGAGCGTCGCCGTGTCCAAGACTTACGCGGAACATACCATTGTCTAATGCTTCGATAGCAGCAAGCTCCTGCTGATGTTCCTCCATAAGCCGGGCAAGTTTTCCCAATAATCTGGAGCGCTCTGCGCCACCAGCGTTCAAACCCCACGTAGTCTCAAAAGCTTTGTGGGCTGCAGCAACAGCGATATCTACATCTTTGGGCGTGGCTTCAGCGACTTTGGTGATGACCTTTCCGGTTGCTACAAAGCAAAATAATCAACGACCTTGGGCGTCATCAAAATATATTTTTGCACTGACCAGGATTGATGATACTGGATGGAGACAACAGTGAGTGAGTTGTTTAATATCGAATATTGAATGGAATAGGTCACTCGATAGTAGTCTTATCTGAACCATCGACAAACTTTCCGTCAATATAAAGGCCAGTGTTGAAAGAAGTCTTGCCCTTGTAGATGGGTGTATTGAACTCGTGAGTGAAGATGGAAGCCATTGTCAATGAAAGAATGCTGGAGGATTAAAGCCTCTACGCCACTTATAAAGGAATCTTGAGAAGTGTAAAGTGTAGAGTGGGCCGAAGAAGGCATATTGATTATCCGCTTCATTCATTCTATGGAGAAATTCATTGATCAAAAGTTTCTTCCGCCGATACAGCTTACCACTCCAACTGCTGACCACTAGAAATGCATGTGAGTATAGCAGCAAACTGTCCAAGGTATTCAACTGTGTCGTCTTTCTTTCGACATAATTGGGGTGCAGCTTGAGCTAGACTCCGCCCAGGCATTTTGATAACCCGTTGAGCGATCTAGTGGCCGAGCGCATTCAATGCAACCCCAAACTCCCCAGAGTATCATCCTGATTACCCCGCATGTGGGGAAGGCGGGGTCGCGACGGAGCTTCTCGGAGCTTCTTCCCAGAAACGTCGCTCCGTTAAGGTCCGTCGCGGATTGAAGTGAATAGTAAGATAATGCAGAGCGCCGAGTTATAGGTGTGTTGTATGACATTTATGATTTAATCGGTGAAACACAGTTGAATTTTGAGTGCTATCATGCTAGGTGTCTCTGAATCCGTCTGACGTTGATTTCACCCGGGTGATTACTCTTCTCGCGGTGTTCGCCAGAGTTGTTCTCTTGGTGATGCGTTTCTCCTTCATTATCTTTACCGATTTTCGCTGAGGTGGAAGCTTCGCAGGGATAACTTTGGAATATCGTAAACTGATAGCATAGCCTAGGATATCCTCAACGGGCCCCTGGAATTGTTTTCAAAAAAATTGGGACCTTGTAGCATTTGGTGCTGTAGAACGATAATATGGCGCAACGCTTCTTATCAGCAGTGGGAAACACCTGGGAAACACGGATGAGAGTTCCGAAATGCAAAATGTCCTGAATTTATTGGTTACGTCATCCCGGGCAGCCAACTTTGGGACACTGATTCGATTATTCTTCCGAATTCTTATCGATCGTACGTGATATTTTGTAGTTCCCTGCTCAACCTTCTGAATAAACAATAAATGGAATTGGTAATGGTTTGGAAACGAACACTTATTGCGCTGCTAATCAACCAATTACTACCAGGCTTTTCCGAGCAACGCACTTCATTAGTTCCTCGTCGACGGTCGTTGCATGCCGCGTCAGCTGCTATTACAGCTTCTTTTTTTTTTTTTTTTGGAGCGTTGGTACCATTAAGTAGACGTACAAGGTCGCCTCTCTTTGGCCGCTGTTATGCAAGGACATGCCGAGCTTTCTCCCCAAGGAAATGCTTTACGCACTAGCACCGCTTGGGTGCGTTGTGTGAGACTCACGTATCAAGTGTTTTCTTTCCATCGCCTCCTGTAAAGATTAGTGTTGTTTTTGAGAATAAATACCGTATTGCATATAACCATGTTACCCGATCCCCGTATTGATACGTATATTCACTAAAACCCCGGTATCTTCGAGTGTTTCGAAGAATGGTCTTGGTTTGAGACCAGTTTACCCCATGTTTTCCGATTTACAATCTCCTTTGATACTTTCCCAGCGGAGAATTTCTTTGAGGTAAGCAAGCAATCTAGGTTGAGCCTGCTTTCGATTGACCACGTCCATTGGTTTGTTATTTGTGCGGTATCTATAACAGCTTCTTGGAGGGAGTCTGGACCTTCTATACGATATGTATGTATTTAATAAATCTTTCAATATTTTTTATTCTCATCAGACCGCGTGCTTGTCAAGGTCTTGTATGAACTTTTGAAGGCCTTGGGAAATTTCGCCTCTTGTTACCAGTCCATCCATGTTGTTATCATTATGGCGAGCACTTCGGTTCCAAAGCATTATCCTCTGCACCATCTTTCTGAACAATGCCCTAGGTGCATCCAACTCCTCAAGTCAGCCTCCAAGTAACCTCCCTCCTGCTGTTCCCAGTGTCTTTTCTGTCGAAGCAAACATACTCATAGACGCACCGATTGACGTTGTATGGAATGTTCTTCTTGATTTTCCCAAGTATCCGGACTGGAATCCGTTCGTACGGTAAGAGACGGTAAGCTTGATGAGTGTGCAAAGAGAGAACGCCTGCTTACTTGTAACATAAGGTCTCAGATTGTCACAGATACCTTCTACATCCCAACTCAAGATCAACAAGTCGCAGAGAACCTTCGTCTCATAATCACCTCCCAAATTCCTCCGCTCACTCCTCCTGTAACTGCGTCAAGTCAGGGAAATATTCTAAACGAGCACATTACTAGAGAGAACATTACTCATTTTGAGCCAGACATATATCGTGTGGCTTGGCAGGATCTATCGCTGGACCTCCTCATTCAAGCGGAGCGATGGAGTGCACTGAGTGTGTTTGTGGACCAGAATGGAGAGGCGATGACGTTCTACGAGAGCAGGGAAGAATATAATGGAGTTTTGGCGGAAACCGTGCAGGATCTGGAGGGTGTGGGACTGCTCGAGGGGTTTCAGGCCCAAGCCACTGCGCTCAAAGCAAGAGCGGAAGCTTGATAATCAGGATTCTGGGGTATGTAGTGATTCGATCTCTCATACCAGGCTCGATGTCAGATTCTTTGTCAAATGCGACAGTGGCACATTCAAGCGCATACCTACCCGGAGTACGGAGCCCCTGCGGAGCCCTGGGCCTCAGGCTATCATCGAGAGTAAGAGACAAATAATGGTGATCATCCAATGAATGCATCGGAAAGTAACGCGTACTTTGAGCAGGAGTAAGGCTGAGTAAGAATCAGATTGAACGCAAGCTTTGCTGGTGTCGACGGTATCAGAACGCAGCAATGACGGGTAAAGATGTTATGATAACGTTGTACGTCCCAGGTCGTTGTACTTATCAGTCCCGCAGTCCCGTTATTATACACAAAAAATGCTGAAATCAGTTCACGATACAACTACGCTTCACTGTCGTGGACCGCACTTTGCTTGGTGGTGGTAGCTAATGTTCTTGAATTGTAGATCTAAAATGCGGCGCATAGGGCGCGCCGCGAGTGGGTACATACCTGGTACATAGTACTTAGTATCACTGTATTAAGGCTTCACAGAAGGGTGCCGGAGCTTTAAAACGAAATATGTCCAAAACTGTCCAAAAGGTGCATATTGTCCAATTCTGGGGTAGAATAGACCTTGCAGGTAAGGTGATGCCCTATATAGTTGACTCGGACAGGCGCTGACCTTTGACAGCAGTGAGGGAGGAACGAAAACTTGGCAGTCTTCCGAGGTCTTCCGATTGTTCTTGGGCCTTTTCGGGCTATGCAGTGCAAGCTGCCACAAGTTGAGAAAAGGTCACCACGGTACATATGCTTGACCGTTCAGGGAAGGTGCCTTATCAGAACTTGCGGGGTAAGCCTCCCAATCATAGGTTACAGGTAGCAGACTTCGAAAACATTGAGTAGAGGTGGAAGCACCCGCCTAGATTACAGGCTGAAGACCGGCGATGCCACCGTCTTTTGAGCCCACTAGAACTTCTTTTCTTGTAATAACAATTCTTAAAGTTCTGGTCACTCCTCCAAGGGACCGTGCCTGTTAACCTTTCCTTTCCTAAAGGCGAACGTCCAAAGTCGATTTACGAAAGCTTGAGACCGTCCAAATTCAAAACATCGATTTTTTCAGCAGAAACGCGATGCTATTAGTTCTAGCAAGAACAGCGGCGCTACGTAGGGCTGTACAGACTCTTGAGAGACATATGCACTAATCATAAATATATATGTATGTGATGTGAGAGTATTATGCGCAAGGAATTAGAAAGCAACATATCCAAGAGACGAAATTTAGCTAGATAGTGAAAACAATATGCAATGGTCCGTCCGCATCTATTTTTGAAGCAAAATTCACAAGAAATAGCACCCTCACGGAATAAAATGATCAGCCAGAGTTTATAGACTGAGGGCATGCTGCATCTGTATATATCCTCTCCCAATCCATTCCTGTGGTGTGACTCGTTCGTCGGTGTGGACATCTGATGCGAATAGAAGGTCATTCTCAGGTGCAAAAGCCCAACGAGCAGGATCAGGGGCTGGAGTAGAAGTGATCGCGCGGAGTTCGTTACCTGCAAAACCGTAACGAACAAACGATATTAGAAACTGTCCAAGAAAATAACAGAAAGCAGAAGTCAAGGAGCAATGAAATGTCCGAGAGACGATTCAACTTTTCCTCGTGCATCAATCCTACAGACCAGAAAATTGAAAATTGAAACGGTTCAGACAACTTACGAATGATGTTATGAGTGAAATGATCCAGGTTCTACAATGAAAGAAAGTTATCCGTTAGGTCGGATCGATACAATAAAAAAGAGCAATAAGATGCGGCTATGGAAAATCGAGATAAGGGGCATCTCCGTTCAAGAGCTTGAAGGAGAATGTAGGTATCTACAGGTATTCTGAGATATTGCACCCATAGTGTTTATTCCATTGTACGGAGACGCGGTGCGTGACGTGTTTCGACTTCTTTTTGGATATGTCCTCGGATAAGAACATGTCGATAGTTCGGAACATGGAACGAACAAGACAGGAACAGACAGAGAGATACGATGCACAAGCACAGGCACTTACAAGATCATTCTTGTCATAACCAAATGGATCTGTCGATGGAAAGAGAAAGGATTTCGTAGGGCCTGGTCAAAACAAAATATCCAGACAAAGCATAGGTTACGCATACTTTCGATTTCCTCTCCAGCAACCAAAAACCCGAAGAACATGAACGCAAGTATAACCGTAGCGGGGATAGTTTTCCAAGACAAAGTTGGCCAGATTTGCGGAGGCTTCATTAAGCAGATTATGTTATGGACATGGTCGGAAAAGGTTTCGATCCGAGTGATGGCGTTCAGATGTTCGTCGACCGAGAATGTGAGGATACGACATAAGATTTTGGGAGATTGACAGATTAAGAGGTGATTGTGGCGTTGGGTGAGAGGTGTAAGATGTGAAGAACGTAGGTCGGAGGAGTGTAAATAACGAGCAAATGTGTACAACGAACGCAAATCATCAGGCTTATGACTGTCGGAAAAAGTATACTAGAAATATCCCACTTACGAGAACTAGAATGTAGATGACGACGACAACCCACAAGTGGAATGAGTACCTATATTTTAGTCAGTCAGTACCCCATGGCATAGAATGGCGACATTGAATACAAAGACGAGGAAAATACACGTAAGCCTCGACATCATTGAACGAAAGAAACGAAAGGAGAAAGGAAAACATAGACGAAATTAGCTCCAGAAAAAGATGCAGACAGCACCGAGAACGACGCAACCAAGAACCGGGGAAGAAGCAAGAGCAGAGTGGAGCAAAGACTAGGAGATTTCCGAGTCTTCTGCATCTTGCTTATAGAATAGGATAATGTTTGAACAGCTTCGAACATAAACAAGTGGGTTGATCAAGGACCCTCACGCCCGTAAATCAAACGGGGAGAAAGGGTTTACCAAAAGAGAAGACGCAGGAATCAAAAGACGCGGGAATGTAATAGTTGCAGTAGTAAGAGAAAGGACATACGAGAAAGGGATAGGCGTCGTTAGGATCCGTTCCAGTCCAGTGAGACTATCCACCAATTGATTTAGAGCAGCAAGCATTGTATCTGATTGAGATATCAGCATGTCTGGCTTGTACACTGATAGAAGGGAAAACACCGCACTAGTAGTGGGGACCTCGTTAGTTTTCCGTATTTGAAGGGCGGAGATATACGAGCTCTAAGAAACCAATGAGATTGGTAAGAGAGGAAGCGCGACATCGACAAATGAGAAAGACAACTTTACCAGATACAATGAAATTTCCAGCGGCAGGTTATGCGAGGCGCTCTTGTTCCTCATTTTCGCCCTCAGTTTGGCGGCTTTCTTGCCTTTCAACTCCTTACCCCTGTTTGTTAAAACCCTCACTAGTAACGAGAATGGAAACAAATCAAATAAATGATATTTGGGGGGCATCTTCGCGGGGAAAAGGAACACTTCGTCGGGTCTTTGTAGGATAACCCTCTCTGCAGGTTCTTCTGACACAGTGGATTTGACGTCGTAGAATGTCTTGTCTGTAGCTTGATGGGGGCGATCCGCTGGCTGGGGTTCCCGGAAGGTGGTCTTACCGGATGTATGAGCTGTAGCAGGGAGCGGAAGATGCGAATCGGAGAAGGAGCTTGCATTGATACGTTGTGTCAAGAAGGTCTGATTGCGTGAAGCGTCTGAGGGTCTGCGGAGGGAAGGTCGATGAAAGGAAGTAGATATGGGGGAGCCCGGAGGTGAATGTATTTCTGAAGGGGCATGATCGTTGGCAAGATCAAGATTTGAAGGAAGGCCAGTTGGAAGAGCGTAGGAGGGGAGGAATTTAACAAGGTAGTACAGGTCTCTGCAGGACTATGTAAGGATATGAATTGATATGAAAGTTGAGAAGACGTACTCGTAATAAATTCCATCCTCTCCTCGCAGATAGTGCTTGACAGCTACGCCAAATGCTTCAATAAGATTTATAACAGTCTTCTTTTCAATCATTGCTCTGGCTTTCAACACTTCTGCAGATTCAGATGCTGTAGCTGGTGGATCTTCTACATTTTCAATATTCCTACCGGAACTGAATTCTTGTAAGATATACCTGGGATATGAAACCAAACCGTTCGCGCAAAGGTCCGACTAGCCAGAACGATTTGGGACCAGAGCCGTCTTCCCTCGTTGTATCTAGCAATCATTGAGCATTTTAACTGCCAACATTTTTGAGACCTCACCTTTCGAATGAAGAGGTTGTCCTGTAACTGATCACAAAACCTAATACTGTACCAGTTCTGCGGAACATAAATTCAAAAAAACGTCTTTGATGTATATTGGGTTTGGGCTATAGCGCTCACACAGTAAGTAACGTAGGTTGAATGATCACTCTGTGTCCTTGAGCGTTGAGAACGCATACCAAGGTCGCCCAAGCGCCGAAGAAGATAAGAAGGTGCCAACAGCGAAATAAGGCGGTGGCAAGTAATGCGTTGACAAGTGAAGCCCCAGTTCTTTGTCTTCCAGCATACGGGTCTTGCACTGTTTTAAAACCCTTGTGCAAAAGAGTCCCCGTCCTTTGCAAGCCAAAGTCCTACAATTGCATGTAAAGTTAGTATGGAGTAAGGGGAGACGAAAGATAAAGATGTCAACCTTTCTTGCATGGCCTGGATGATTTATGGACGGCGGCATGATCTATTATTTCTGTCTATAAATCCACTGGGAGTCAATGATCTGCGAAGAGATCTGAGTTAATCAGTTCGCTACTCGTACTTGCGTTCTGAGAGTGGCGATTCGTGGACAAAAAGTAAGAGATATCCAAGTGCTTGTAACCGTCGTTAGATGACGGCGTGGTTGAGTCTCGTTGTAGTCGCTGGTGCTGGCCGACCCTGGTGATCCAGCGCATTATATGATGAGCGCCAAAGATTCTTATCATAACCTCTTCGGCCCGGATGGCATCTTGCGGGCAAAACGAGTTACAATATTATTAGGGTGACTGAAAGATGAGTTAACTAAGAGCTTCTTGCCAGTGATTCGGGTGCAATTGGCAGGTCTGTACGACATACAGAACATACAGAGGGAAGCAGAACAGTGGGACAGAATATGGGACAATGATTAGTGATGTAAAGATTACAATGCTATGTAAATGAATGCTTCATTCAAATGAACAGCGAGACAGAAATAATGCGAGTGTACATGCTATAAACAAGAGGGGGACAGACATGATGTGTAATAATTGTGGGGTCAGACAGAAAAAAAAGTGTTACAGCTGAAACCGAGGTGTCCATCAGCGCAATCGACGTAATCTGGGCGAGTGACCAATTAGCATATAGTGGATAGGATAGGATATATAGGATAGAATATAGCATAATTAGCAGTATTGTAGAGACGCATGCGTGCTAGGGCCAGCTCCTGGGGTTTCGTTGTAGTCTTGACCTACTTTCCAGATATTCGAGCGTCTGGCAGGAGCTTGGTGAACCCCATAAGAAGAAGTGCGGCCATATGTAGGTCTCATTGACAGAGCAGGGACAAGAGGAGGAGCAGGAGTCAGACGCCTGTTCGCGTTCATTGCCATCCCCACGCTGAAATTATTCGTCGTTTGCATTCCCATTTCCAACCCTACTCCGAAGTCTATCTGCGACGCCATTCCAAAGCCTGATCCAGCAGCAATGTCATTGCCGGTATCCGCTCCACTGAATGACTTGGAATATTGAGAATTTGGATGAGGAAGGTGCGAGTTTTCCGAGTAAAACCCTTGCCATGGCCCGAGAAGCGTTAACTGGGATAGATTCGGTGGAAAATCCGCAGCGCATGGATACTCGGCGAAAGGAAATGGTAGGGCGCTGAGTGGGGTCTGTCCATAGTCCTTTGAGGGTAGATATGGCGAAGCTGCAGGAGCTGCAGCAATGTCGACAACATCCTTGGCGCCAGGACTCGGGGCAAGACGAGTAGGAGTCTGATAAAGTATTGAAGGATGAGGTTGATTAGCCACCTCCGAGGCGCGGCCGGCTTTAGGACGATTAGTGTGGGGGAGATCAACGGAAGGAGTGGTGGTAAGATCATTGGGACTCGGGCCTTCGGGCGGAAGAAATTTCAAGGGCTGTTCAGCGACAGTGTATTTCTTCGGCACGTAACTGTGTTGACTTTTCCGATGCCTTATGAGGGACGAGGGGTCTTTACAGCAGAATGCGCAATCAGGGCATGCACGTCTCCTGCTTGGATCGCTGTTTCACGATGTTCAGCATGCGATCCGGTATAGGAAATACGATCAACTCACTGTAAAGCCAAATGTGTGTTGAGATTTGATCTTTGTGAAGCCGAGAATTTACAGCCTTCGTGCGGACACTGGTGTCTTGCGAATCCACAAAGAAATTAGTACTCGGGATATTAAACATTTGTGTAGTATGCATACCTAACACCAGTGTGGATTTTTTCGTGGCGTTGTAGATCAGCCTTGCGAAATGTGCGAATACCGCACTGAGAGCATATAAATGGTGCTTCGACGTTGGTATGGAAGACCTAAAGTGTAAGGGTCAGAAAGTTAGGTCTAGCAGAATAAGAAATCACACTAGGTGAACTTACGCTTGTACCACGTACAGCTGGCATACTGAAGAATGGATGAAAATTGGATTATAGACCGGAATGACTGGGAAAGAAACAGCAAAGTGTTCAAATCACTTTCCAGAAGATGAGCTCGAGAGGGAGTTTAAGATTGTAAGGGGAACTAGAATATCACAAGAAGAGCCATTTTACCTGCATTTATACCTCCTAGAGGTTCCAGGACGATTGGGACTGACCCACTTTTGCAAAATTACTTCTTTGAGAGAGGCTTTGCCGACAGGACAAAAAATTCCTCAAAACAGGAATTCTCCATGTCAATTGACGCTGTGCCACTCGATGAAAATTACCAGAATAGGCCTTGTTGGAGTTGGGAACAATGGTGGCCAAGTGCTATGACCCGCCCACCATAAGCGGTGGACGATTGTCACGTTCTTCTGTTCTAAACGGTCAGACAATAACGTTCTACTTGCAATAATCCGACGGTAATCAGCCAAGTGGCTGAAATTATGAAGAAATATTGGGCGGGCGTCCTAACTCTCTAGAAAATATATTTTTCAATACTCTAGATATTGGCACTAGGACTCACTAGGATTTTCTCTATCTCACCGCAGCTTGGGTGTTACCAGTCGCCAGCATCTATGTTAGCGGGACAAACTGTACAGCATAGGTGCCTGGGTCCAATATCTTACAGTCTGACCGCAGGTTCCAAACTGTGCAGTGGTCCATCATTCGCTGGGCCAAGAATTCAATCCTCAGCGACCTCCTCGAGCTTTTTTGGCTATAATTTGCACATTCTGCAATGAAGATTTAAAAATCTCTACGCCAGATACCCAGATGCATAACTGAGAAGTTGATATCCAGACTTATCCAGATCATGAACCGTGCTGTCGAAGACCAACAAAAGATAGAATTCACCTTTAGTTCGTTGAGATGACTTGATATCCCCTCATATCATGTCCCTGTTCTGAACCGGAGCACAGTTTATGTCTGCACAACGCGCAAATTGCTGCCTTACAAGTAAGGAAAGACTCACCAGGACTCACCATCTCTCCCCGTAACTTGAAGATCCGATTGTACGACGAACGGTCAGTGTACGGGGTACATTCCGTTCGTCCCAAGTTACCAAAAAAATTCAGGTCGCGATATAATTGAAAGCCCGTAGCCTGTATTACTAGCTTAGTAGCTATATAGTAATATGTGCTTGAAGAGGTCAAAGCTGGGATTCGGAATCACGAGTATTTGAACCTCGATTGCCTTTTCTGGATATCTTCACCTGATCTTCACTGTCCTCCTTGTCTTTCGCCACCAATTGCAACCTTGGCGTCCTCCCGTCACGAATCTGTTTCACGAAACTTCTACTATACTTCTACCATGAACTCCAAACCGTCGGCTGTGGCATCTTTCACGAACTATTTTCGTCCTCACCGTGGTGAGGCAGTAGTCCGGTTACGGTCGAACGCTTTCGGCTTGATTTCCGTCTTCATTTCTACTTGGCTTCTACCTGTGCCTTCTGTAACATCAGCAATGCGCATGATCCTTTCTGGAAGCAATTCTCAAAACGATTTCTTGGTTGTGACCGGGAGTGAATGGAATTTTAGAAAAGTTGTCTGTGTCCTAGGTCCGTGATTCCAATTCGTTCATATTCATTCGACGTGTAACGTTAACTTACTTCTCACTGATAGAGCTGACAATTGTTGCTATGCTTGCTTACAACGTCCTCGAAGCATTTTACGCGCTTAAATACCCCAGAAAACCACTTGGACCTTCCGTCCTCTCCCCTGCGAAAAAGTCGAATCCGCTGGGAGTAGTCTCCCCTGAATCGGCAAAGAAACCATTCCGGATACTGTCCCCCAATGTGCGTTATCCTCGCTTTATGCGTTCTTTGTCATGCTCTCTAACATGCGCATAGTCAACTCCAACATCAAGATCCAAAATATTCTCTCCCAGCCAATCTCTTGCTCTCTCCCAATCTAGATCCTCTCAATATCCTCCATCTCCTGCGAGCTCACCGTCTCGTGTCATCCGATACTCGATGCCACCAAAAGGTAGCTCCACAGACGGAGGCATCAATGCTTCCATCTCGTCTTCAACGTCAACGATCCCGCCGACTCCCAGTCCTAGTGCTTCATTAGCATCGGCATATCGTGGGAAGCATGCATCCGGCTTCCATGGAGGGCGTGAGTTTACCTTGGTTTTAATCATTTTACTTCTTCTCAACTCACTCATTTTAGGACCAATGGACGGCCTGTTCCTTAGCCAGATGGCTTCGGGTGGAGATGATGACGACGACGCAGAATGATATACGGTTATGTACTTTATGTACTGCGATAATTCACACCGCATGTTTCCTTTCCGGCGAAATGTCAGGCCAGGTGGAAGTTTCCGCCTACAGAGAATTTTGAAGCAATAGGAACTCGTTCGGTATTAGGCCGGTGCTACACAAAGCCTCTCATTCCTGAGTTCCACCAATCCAACAAATTTCTGTCAATGGCAACTTACACATGAGCATAACATAATGCACGGCGAACATAATGGTATGAATTATATCAAACCTTCCGATTATTGGATACGATCTTCCCTTGATTGCGGCCAGGGCGTAATGGCAGCTGGTATCGGAGCTGCACCCTTCTAAGCTCTTTCTCAGGTGCCCAAACAGATGCTTTCAGATTTTTGGCAGTCACATATTTACAGAATAATAGCTCGTCAATTGGACACTGATCTAGCAAACATCAACGAAGGAAAAAATTAGAGACACTTCTGATTCCAGTATCAACGCGTCATTGGGCATGCACGTCTCCAATACCGATGTAACAGGAGATTTGAACTCTTGGTGCAGTCACAGTTATCGAACCGCGAAGGAGCTTTCTTGATCGCTTGTTATACGGGCTTATCGGATGTAATTCCCAGCAAACGCAAGGAAAGTTTATGAAAGCTTGGTCCAAAAATTCAACACCAACGAACGCGGAACTTAGAGCGGTGAGGATCGCTTCTTGAGGGTAAATATCGAATAGCGGTGAGCAGATAAGCACTTCTCTGATTGTGCATTCCAAAGTTGTCCACACTTAGTCGGGAAAGACTTTGAATGGCGATAGTAGACAGTTGCTTACTTGCTCTGTCGTTAAAGGGTGAGGAGGTTACGGCTTTCTTTCTTTGAGCCTGCGTATAACCGTGTGAGGGCCAATCACGTACGAGGGTCATAGTTCAGGCCTTCCTCGGTTTGCAAATTTGCGAAAGGAATCTCGAGTACTATCTTACGAAACGTTTCTTGTGCAGAATCTGGTCGAAAATAAGTTTGAGTACCGAGATCATACACAGATGTCTCAGGCTATAGAAAGACAGTAATTTTGAGCGAAATAAAAACAGGATTACAGGATCTAAGACGCGTACCTCGATGATATATATTAGCGCCCATTTTTTTAGCCAAGCAATATTGATATTGGACTTTATTGGACACCTAAAACAGTGAGGAAATATCGAAGCTTGTGGCTGAAATTAGGTCTTCAGCAGTACCAATAAAAGTACGTAGAACATCGTTAGTAAATTAGCAAACCTACAAATGCTTTTTCGACTTGGCTGAACATTCCAGCTTCCACCTCAAGTAACATAGAGCTGTTTGGTACACCGGAAATATTTATTAAGGAAAGGAAAGGAAAACTGACACGGTCCCATTTTGGGAGTTTGATTGAATGCGACCAATTTGGCCAACTTGAAACATGTTCTCCATAGATACAGGCAGTTGCAAGGGTTCATTGAGAGCATGCGCGCATTGTAGAGTGTGTGTGTATGTGTTATTTTAACCACCGCAGAACCGGTGGAAAAAATATTTCCTGCACCTTTTATGACTCTGGTTTACAGGATAGACTAATCGTTCCTTTTCCATGGGTTAGATAGTCCGGGAACTTGTATAGGTCCCAGTGTCGATATCGATGTTCCCAACGAGCGACAGTAACTCCTAGGCTTTCTCAGTTGTCAAAGAATTAAGTCATGAAAGATCGCGTAGGTGCACGTGGATTTACTGTTCCGAACGTTACGGACTGCACAAATCGACCCAAATTAATCAACCTAAAATCTCCTGAAGTACAGCATGAGGAAAGCAAGGAGAGGATTATGCAAATCAATGTAAGCTGTCCTGAACTTCTTCTAGGAATGTGCAGCTCACGCTGCGGAGAAGGCAGCATAAGTGGGTGTCAGTAGGTCCATTATCTTGTCTTGCTTTCCTAAATAAAGCTTTCGGCTCATTCAGCCGAGTTGAGATCGGGAAGGCACCATGTAAACAGCAGAACCTGAGCAGATGACAGATCCTTCCTTCTTGTGGTCTCTCTGTTTCCAAAGCCTTTTAGATGACTCTCGTCGAGATAACTTCTAAATCTCGAATCCCAATCGAGAGCCGCAACTTTAAACGATAAACGATCGATCGTCGTTCGCCCTACGCTTTTCATTGGCTAAGATATCCAGGTCCAATGGCACACCGTGAACAAGGAGTCATTATCAGTTCAATTACACTCCCCAATCTTGGGCTCACAAACGACGCACGGGTACAAGGAAGCTTGCTGCAATTCGAACTCATTCCTGCAGACAGAATTTTTTAGGCATTCTCCGGAGCTGCTTTATCTTGGCTTTTTCGAGGCACTAGCAGACAATTCCCAGAAGGTCAGTCTGTCGGGAAGTCAGATTTTCCATGATGAATCATGTTGAATCAGATCCTCTACGTCAGGGCTTGCTATGTCATTCAAATTTGGTCCGAGTCTTTTTATCTGGACGAGCTAAAGTAAGTACAATAAAGCTTATCAATGGGGTGAAAGCGTACCATACACAGAAGGCCAATCGATCCTGGGAGAAGAACCCAATTGTTCATTGAACTCGATTGATCTGTCGGGAGGAATCTATCTAAAAACGAGGGAACTCATCAACCGCGACTCTTCTCAAAGTTCGTTCACTTTTGACTCGGAATTTGATCGTGATCCAGCGTGGAATATACCAATAATCTTTGATCGCTTCAAAATGATTCAGGTCAAGGGAGTCAAGTCGTAAATTTGAGGACAGAGAACTATAAAAGGCAACCTATCTCGCCCATGTCCAGTCTTGTCCAGCCTTGGGCGTACAGTTAAATTAGCTGTGTTTACGGACCGGAAAAGCAGTATCGATATCGCTTTCTCCCCACGAGGTCATCGTGCCATCTGCAGACAATCCTTACAGACAACCCCAAAATTCACAAAAATGATTGAAGCGTTGGAACCATGCGCACATCAAGCTACATCAAGCTACATCTGTAGCGATTGCGTACACGAATAAACGTCTCAGAATGTTCGACTTTTATTTTCCTCGTGTCATACTCACAAAGCAGCAGGTTGTCAATATTTCCAGCTTCTAATAATTCAAAAATTCCGCAATTAGTATAAGCAAGAAAGTGGCCGTTTTACGTTTTCATTATCGGAAGCTTGGAATGGCGGAATGTATGTGCGCCCTATGTATTATATTGATGAAGGTCTAGGGAGGACAGGACCTGGGAGGACTCTGTCTGTGATTGGCTAGATATTGCTAGAGCCAATCATAAACCGGTGCTAGTCTTCATAGAGAACCTCCTCGGGCCAATCATGTCAATTTTGTCGTCAATTATTGATGAATATCTACACAGTCCTGGGTCTATGAACTGATGACCGGCGAAACCCACTCAGAAGGAGAATTCAGCTGTTGAGGTGAGAAAAGGTACTTACTGAGTAGATGCTCACTTGTATGTTGCCAGAATTTATAGTGTGCACGAACAGTTTGCAGAGGCAGAAGAAAGGCATATGTACTGTACATTTGTGAAATGACACTTGGAATTTTGTGCTTCATCGCATCTCAACAGAGGCATGCCCGCGGGTTGACTGAGTACTGAGTCCGCTTTAAGCCAAGGACCTGAAACTCGAGCCAAACAACTAAATGTGTGAACGCACCCGTTCCTCGCAGAAATTTTGTTCATTCAAATAAATACCTCCAAGTAACTGCTCTCATAGCCTGACACGTTGATAGAGGTAGAGAAAAGAACTCGAAATGAAAAGATATCTTGCAGAAATTGATATATCGGCGGAGGAACTGGGCTCCGGGATGTTCTAGATACGGGAGCATGAGTTGTTTTTCTTTGGGAATAGAAATTCAGCACTGACCGTGTTTGCTAATTCATAGGCCTGAAGCGGTCCGATAATCAAGCGAACACCGCGAAGGACTATATGCACTACACAGGAACTGCATATACGTAGCATGCAGTGAGAGCCTACCGCACTAGACCGTACTCTGAATTATCCATCCGGGATACGCTAGCGATTACCAGTGAGGAAGCAGCAGAGCACGAAATGAGGACTGGACCTGGATGACCTCTCGAGACCCTAAAACTTGTAAAAGTCAATCAAGAATGACGAAGTTGTCCGCCATCGGGATTCATTCTTAATAGGCTTTTGCGAACCAGAAGTTGGGCCCTTGGTCCCGTTTTGAGTTCAGCCTTGTGTGTTCCCGTTGCACGTTTCAGCAATTGTAAAAGAGAGATATTATGACATGTTGGGAATCGAATTTGCGTTAATTCTTGTTGAGCCTGAGGCCGAGAGAGGCCGAGGTGGTAGTACGTACCACCCTGTACCACCGCACCTGTCACTGATCATGAGAAAGAGGAAAATTGCAATCATCCTCACCGCCGGCAATTTGTACAGGAACTCGACAGGGGTTAACGTTAAGCAACGAGATTCAACGGAAACACAATCCCTGATATTCGTCACAACACTTGCTCAAAGGAAAGCAGGAAGAGACAGGAGAAAAAAATATGATATAGGGTAGATATGACGAGTACTATGGTAGGATGCGTGTAAAGATCTATGTATATGGTCAGAGATATTATGCTAATGCTAGAACCCAAACCCAAGACAAAAATGCATGTGCAAGACAATGATAGCAAGTGAGAGCAAAGCAGCGGTAGAAAAATAAAGGACAAGATCTGAAGGACTAGACTGGCTAGGAAAATAATGGCGTAGTGGAACTATTCTACAAAGTCCCACAAAAGATGATGTCTATGTTAAAGAGGTAGCACCCGAAAAGAAAGGAAGAACAATCGAAGTGTTCATTTTTTTGCCTACGAACGGCATCAGAAGATTCGCGTCTTGAACTGTTCACCAGACTTACCGGTTTCCGCATCATTAATGTGGCGGCATCGCAGCTGGACGATGTATGCTGGGAAGAATGAAGAGAGATCAGGGACGGCCTACGACATAACACATGGGGAGACATACTGATGATGAGTATGGAGAGAGAGGAGCAGTCGAATGTTGCATTTGACTTTTTTTGTCAAGAGCTTTTTGGAGCTAGGAAAGAACAAATATCAGTCAAGTACACAGACACAATTTTAAGAACAACTCACTTTAGCCTGACTCTGGCTTTCCTGTGCATAGCTAGTGTACATATTGGCATGCAAAGGGATATTGGACATGCTCGTCGCGTTTGGGAGCGTGTTTAGAGAGCTCGAAAGGCTGGGATATGCGACGATGGGTTTGGTGTTCATCACGAAGAATCCGGTCGGTTTGCTCAAGGTAGTTGGAATGGGAAGAGGAATGGAGGTGCGGAGTCGAAGGAAAGAGCGAAAGAAAAGTAAACCGTGAACAGCGAGTGACCAACGGAGGTTCTGGTAAAGGGTGAGGAAACGAGAAAATTCGCGCTTGATATATATTCTCCGATCGGCAAAAGCGCGTGACTACTGACTCAATCAATTTCTCTCTTACAGAGGCGATACTTTCAGATCGGGTTACTATTTCGTGTGGTGGTGAACAGCAATACGATCTTCACACGAAGCCAAGTGGTCGTAACGCAACATCTCCGTACCCGGATACGATAAGCCTTGCAGATTTAGACACATGGGCCACGCTAGATCTTTTCCCATTCTATACAATAATCAACGGTACTTTCCGGGTAATGTGTACACCAAAAGGAAAAATTAGGATCTTTCCCTCTCTGCCTCGAGGCCGTCTCAAATGATATGGTGAGTTATCTTCAGGCACTCTCATGCCGCTCGTGGAATTTTGGGGTGTTCATTTGTAAATTAGGCAACTGCAGCTGCAAGTCATCCCCCGCATCCTCTCATCCAAGGTCTTTGTATTTACTTTACCTTCCGGTGAGCGTAATCCCCCTCTTTTTTACTCACATTCTTGAGAACACCATGCAATTAATGCCACTTTGGCTAAGCTTCGGACCTCTAAAGGGACTTGACTACTTGTGCTGAATGCTGGACTACGTGTTATCATGGGGTCCTCGCTTCCTCTGACCTCCAGCGCTCACTTAATTATGACCGTCAAACATGCTACAGCCTACCCAGCTCTATTAGTGATTGAACGTGGGTAAGTTCATACACTAGAATATCGTTCACTCGTACCCATACCTCATTGACATCGCATTGGCATTGTTGACTATATCCGACCTGACAACTGGCGGAGATTTGTGAAGGATTTCATACAGATAGGTATACTTGACTGAGACACCAATATCTCATATGACGGCAGTTTTATCATTTCCTCGAAGTTTTGTAAAATCTCAATGGATAAATTCCTCCCATCCAATTGCTGTCATGAATTCAGACATCTGACGAAATACATGATTCCATCTAGCTGCTGAAGCTGGGAGGTTGACAGATTTCTAACTCAGTATGATACACGTGTTCCTTATAAAGGGGGTTCACTCAGACTGTGGCCGAGAGCATTCCGCAATGTGTGGACTTTGGATATTCAAAAGTTGTATAATATATGTATGCCGCTGGGTTGAGGATAGTTATAGTTGTTCAGCACTACCCGCCAATGGAACTGCCCTCTTTTCGGAATCAGTATGAAAAAGGATTCCGATCAGAATCATGTTGTGGTCCTGGGTAATTGTTCAAACCACCAACTGGTGAATGTACAGGTTCTCCGCGGAAGGGCACTACCTGGACACCACTAAGTACAAGCTGGACATTACAATCTCCACCAGGGCTCACTCGTATCTTCTTCAGGACGTCCCCCATTTCATGATGATTACAATGCTCGAGCTTTCGGAAGGCTCGGTATTCTTCTAGTCAAGTGTTCCAATTTCCGAAGAAGATTTAGGGCTTCGAAGTCGCTACTATGAGTAGCATACGCCTCGCGCGAGCTGCGTTTTCCTAGTAGCATTTCTCAGGATAGTATGTACAGTACCTCTTTTCGTAGCGTAGGCCGCAGTCATCAGCCATGCAGCTTTCTCTCGACCACAATATGGCTACTCTAAAACGGCCCCGAACATGTTACTATCCTGGGGTTGAGAAGATCCGACCAAAGGTCTTCGAAAGAAACATTCATAGTAAGCAACAGAGTAACTTCAGGGGATTTAGTTGCGAATCGGGTAGACATATTGTAAGTTGTAGTATTCCCGAGCTAATCTGCTTTCGCTAGTCTTACGGCAAATCATTGAATGGAACAATCAACGACCGTGTTCAGTCTTGAGTCCTCAATCTTGAATCAATGCCGCCACCTCAGTGGTCCTCGGGACTAAAGGGACTTTAAGTCTTACCGGCGTCCTTATGAGTATGAAGAAACGGTCCAAACAAACAGCTGCCTTCCCCCGAAGATATATTTTGAGACATGCCGATGAATACAACTTCTGTCTTTCTGTCCTTCTGTCCTTCCAAGTTCCAGTCCAGCAAGGCAAAGATAGCTCTTGCTCGTATGGTATGATTGAAAGTATATGTATAAGATCGTTATATGTACCGTGAAGCACTTTTGAGCACTCCGGATATTCGTAGCCCAGTCGGGAAGGATATAGCAGATATAGCCGTATTTGAACAATATGGATCGGCTATTGCATGGGTAGCAGTCGTCTGAGTGGTTCGCAGTATGGATCTAGGATCACTACGTGATCAGTTCATCGAAAACATATAGAAACCCGGTTGCAGACCTTGGATCCAAGGGCAATGACAACGAGCAGGAGCGCACGTCTAGAAATCAGCTGGAACTTGAACGCCTTCTAGGCAGGCAATTTCCGACCAGCCTTCGCCCAATCAATGTTGCCCCAGATCCGTTACAGTCGCAATAACTATTGAGCCAATGCGTTGGTCCATTACTGTCACGTTCCCTGGGCCAGAACAAAGTAGTATACTTAGTAGTTATCGGGAGGTCTATTTTGTCGCGATATATTTTCAGCTCCTGGTCGAGGCTCAAGAGCGCGCCGTCGCATAAGGGGAACGAGTTCTAGACCTCTATTTTTTTTACGGGGCCATTTTGAAAAACCTGAACTTGAAAATACAATTTCATCGACCGCAGAAAGAAGGGTAAGGATAACGCGAGCTTCTGCCTTATCTCAGTAATCTGAAGGAAAAGAGAAGGAGATAAGCAGGAGGACACTGAAGCAAATACACAGAGGAGAAAGGGACACATTTGGACCTCTATATTGTGACACCACTTAGTAATCATCGTCAGTCACTTGAGAATTTGCAGGAGCTTGTTCTCCAACTTCATCTGTTTGAGCGTATCATTTCCGGATGGACGGATTGGAATCTATCCACCGCGGGAGAAGATACCTGCCCTACGAAATTTTGACCCATCAGCCATCGAGATGAAACCAGTAGACACACTATGACATGCAAAAGCCAAGGTTCAGTCAGTCAACATTTCATGAGTATTTCATGAAACAAAAAGGGGGGAAGGAAAAGTGGTATGTCCGACTTCAATTCAACAACACGACATACAACGAGAAGTTTTCGATGACGCTAAAGTTGAAGGATTTACGAATTTCTCTATAGGTTGAAGTCAGAGGGTCAAACGCTAGATCTTCTTCGGCGTCACCATGAGCGCAACTACTGGCGAAAAAAAGGAACCACATCTGCTGCAAGCAATCGGAAGTTAGCATCGGACAAAGGGCAGAAGGGTTTAATGGAGAGATAATAAATCACTTCGTTATAGACGTACTCGTCTTCTGCTCCAATAGGTATGCCCCACAACGTCACAATGATATAGAATCATTTAGAAAATCCGGCCAGTACCGAACGATAGTTCGATTAACGTCTGGATGTAAATTCACGTACTTCGAAAGAGAGGAGAACTGACGACGCCACAACGAGTACCTTATCCCGCCGCGGGGAGCTAACTAGAATTGGGATATCGACATTCTACTCGCGAGAGCAGGCAATAGTTCAGGAGTCATCCCCGATGTTGCCAATGGTTAATGAAGATAAAGGAAGAGCAATTGTATATCGCGAATTAGGACTCATTGCAGAAGGGTAACCTCATGGCCGAACGAGATAACGAGGGTGGTCTCGTTTGGAATTTTCCGAAGCCTGTATGAGCGCTTCCTGCGCATTCCGTCTTGCCCGAAAGTCTATGGCCTCATCTGAAAGAAAATTTAGAATTTCTTCGAATGTCTGCTCTGTGCCCCTTCAAGCTAGCTTCCGAGAGTCGGAGGGATGAGCCTCAAGATTGAATCAAGGGAGGATAGGAGGAGAAACAGAACGGCGATTTTAGGAACCTGAGGACAGAAAGATTGCCATACATGCACCCAGAATAACGAAGGCGAGGATTTGGGAGAAGAATGGTAAGGGCGAAATGAAACGTAAAGTCAAATTTGACAACAACCGAGGATAACATTCAAGAAGACCATGATACATTGAGAGACGCTGTGGCAGATACGGCGGAAGTTCGGGAGAAATGTTTATCAGTAGCTGATAGAACAAAGATGAGCAATACGCAGAGCTGAGAAGAATTCGACAAACGTGCCATGACCTAGCACAAATCTTTCAAAGTTACAACTTCCCTCAGATTCGCCGGGACCCCGACACACATTCCTCACTCTCCCTGGTGTAACACGCCATCCATGCCCCATGAATTTCTCATACTGTTTTCCCCTTGGGTCAATGAAGCTTCATTGAACATTGCTCGATTTCGGGCCAGCTGGACGTAATTTGCAATCAATGTCATTGGAGCATTGGAAGACGATCTTAATGCGATCACGTGCTCAGGTTTCTTTGATCAATTCATAGGCGCCCGTCTTTTTGAGGTCTATTTGGTCACCGTTGGTGCTCCTTTTCTTCTCTTCGCCTCGTTATCCACATTCGGAGGCGGTTCTTTAGTATAGATTTCGATATAAGATCAACCTCCACGACCTTCCATGACATATAGTAACAGCGTGCAGCATGCGATGTCCTTTATATCAGTACATATCCCCGACTCGATTCTCGCTGGGATTGGTCCGAATCGTAGACACCGGTGAGGTGCCCCGAGCTAAAGAAAATGTTGATTGTTTGAATAGAATAATGGACAGCAGAATTAAGAGAAATCGGTGTGTTATTCGATAGGCCACACCGATACCATACCTGCATACAAACCTTTCCTCTGGGATGAATGGATAGCGAATGAGAAGGGCAGAAGCTCCTTCATCCCTAATTCCACAATGTATAATACACACGAGAATCGGGAGAAGAAAAAGAAGTCGAAGAACATGTTATGACGCCAAGGGTAGAAAAAAGGAAAAGAAGAAAAGCGTGGGAAGGAGACCCAACGAAGGTTGAAAGAGCCAAAAGAGCAGAAGAGCGGAAGGAGAAGATGAGAATTAATGGCACATTGTCAGTTGAACATCTTGCACGTTAACTGAGAATGTCTGAATCACTGGAGGCCATAAAATTTGAGTGGGTGCTACCAGTGACGAAAAGGACTACCCAATGTTGTTCAAGATAGTAAAAGCTTCCCCTAGCCTCAGAGGCAAACATGACTATCAGAAATGAAAGGACGCAATGGCCCGAATAAGTTCGACCAAGTTCGACCAGCATCTGATCTTTTTGGCAATAAATGCAGAGTTAGAAAGCAGGCCGGTACAAAATCTTCCACGGAAGGTAGCGGGGGTTCACATACCAGACTTACTGAACGATTCGATGACGTTCCATTTGCTCAGGAGGTTTTGTTGTGCATCGAGAATTCATTTTCGAACTCGTCGTGTGTAAGTAACTGCAGAAAGAAATGAAAGCATAGTAAGCCTCGTGTTCCAGTAATTAAATAACTTCAAATTCGTGACGAGGGCGTTTCTTTCTTCCTTCAACAGTTATTCGGTCTGAACATGCCTCCGTTTGCAATTGTCAGTACGTACTCCCTCCGTCACGGAAGAGGCCGCAGATTCATTTCTATGTCTCATGAATGGGTAAGGAAACGTATACATTGCATTGCACTTGGTCAGGTTGGTTTTGTGACCCGTGTTAAGTTCCTCATTGACATCCTTGATTTTTGAGTTGCTGTCAACCAGGAATCTACAGACCCGCAGAAGAATCTGTTGGATACAGAGGAAATATTGTTTGAAGGAAAGTTAAGAATTTGTGAGCACGTACATGTTGGTGTTATCGGCGATGGAAAGGAGATAGTAGGAGGAGAGGGAAGGAGGAAAGTCGGCAGGGTCCAGCTGCATTAACATCTGTTAACATGCCGCCAAAAACAATTCTGGTGAAACCAGTGACATTGTATGACCAGCGTCAATTGTTGTAAGTGTGAGCGGCATCGGGGAAGATCGAAGGGAACTTGGGAGGCGAAAGGTTAGGAGTAAAAGTCGTTGACGGAGGCATGACTGCTACAGGCTCCAGGGCGCTATTTCGTCACCAATCCTGGTTGAATCTCAAATCTTGAACAGAGATGGCCCAGGCAAAAGGCAAAAGATTGAGGGAGGAGATGATTCGAATCGTTAGGTAGTCGGCATTGGCAAAAAATAGCAGACAAGTCCAAGCGCCCTAAGTTTTGCTAAGCGCCTATCTAATCACCCCTTGAACATGTTCTTTCCGGAAGCACTAAAACTTAAAGCTTTTGTCTCGCCAGAACCACGAGGCTTACTTGGCTCACAAAGCTGAGGCATTCTTAGGTCCTCTTAGTTGTGCTTCTCACTAAGCTAGGCCATGAAGTACTTTCTATCCATCCTCATCTTAATCTCTTTTACGTTTACGTTTGTTTCTGCCCACGGATACCTCGCGCAATTGATCATAAACGGCAAGGCTTATTCAGGAAACGTCCCCGGCGCCCAGGCAACCCCAAGTGTCATTCGCCAGGTTTCAGATATAAGCCCAGTCAAGGGCGCGAGCAATCCGGATTTGAATTGTGGGTTGAGCGCGCAATTCGCTGCAGATGTAGCAGATGCAAATCCTGGAGATGCGTTAGCATTTGATTGGCGTGGAGGGGATAATCAGAATGTAAGTTCTTACTTTTCCATCTGACAGCATATCAATAATCACTGATTGCGAAACAGTGGCCACATAACACAGGTCCCATGTTAACATACATGACATCCTGCGGCAGCTCCTCCTGCACAACATACAATTCCTCTTCATCCAAATGGTTTAAAATTCAACAAGTTGCGCGGGTCAGCTCCGGTGGTCCCTGGGCACAAGCAGCAGTCATGGAAGGTTTTCCCGCCAATGTCACTCTTCCCTCGACACTTGCACCCGGGAACTATCTCATACGCCATGAGATTCTGGGGTTGCAAGGAGCTGTTTCCGTTGGAGGTGCAGAGTTTTATCCGGCGTGTTCGCAGATCAAGGTCGGCGGAAGTCAAACGGGAGGACCGACTGAGGATGAACTAGTGTTGTTGCCTGGCGCGTATAGTGATACGGATCCTGGAATATATGATCCTAACGTGAGTGAGGTTTTCACTTCAGGATTTACCTTGGACCTTCTCAGCCACAATATTGCGGCTCATCTATACCCCTTTCCCTGTAGGTCTACGACCCTTCGGCATCATATACATTTCCCGGGCCTCCAATTGCAGCGTTCGCGGGAGGAGATGCATCAGGGACCTCAGTATCTGGAGATGCCTCTGGGTCAGCTTCCGCAAGTACGCCGACTGCTACTTCTGGTAGCTCAGGCTCTTCTGGCAGCTCTTCATCGTTGAATCCGCAAAGCGTATGCAAGTTACAAAGGCGGACGACATCACTCGTGTCAGACGCGGGTTCTTTCACAGTTGTCAAAACTCCTAAACGAAGACATTCCATCTTGACTGGCCTGTTCCATGACTTGGCTCTGGTTTACAGAGGGTCTTGAGAATTAATGAAATATCCGGCGAGGGTATTCCCTGGTGTTTCTCGGGGCTTGTCTCTTTGTCTGCTTCGTGCTCGTATGACTTTTCATTCCGGATGATTTCTGAACTGTTATTTAAAGCAAACATAGTGTATGTATATACGATGGCATGTGCTAATGTCGTCTTTATTCTAAGTCCTTATCTATCCCCTTTATCTACCTCGTATGGTCTGATATATAGTTGGGCAATGGGTGCATGATTTGTCGATCAGGTTAAGGTGAAGGCTTTCATTTCGGTTTAAGGTGGATAGGAAGAAAAATAAGGATAGCAAGAAAAATAATTAGGTGGTGAACTTTAGGGTTTTGCTTCTAGTAGTGGGTTGAGGCAACTCACTGCCACAACCCATCGAATTTCGGAAACAATATGTTGGCCATTATTAATCTTCGGTACGTACCATACCATGCAGACGCGACCTATGACAACGGAAGAACGTACACATTATTTCACGATTATTTGGAAATAATGGATTGACCAAGATGATTATAAGAAACTAACTATAGCGTGATTATATATGCTTGACGAAGAGTTTGAAGATAGATAACTACTGTTGCAATTGCCGACTCATTGCCGATAATGTAGCAACTATGAAAAGTCCCTTGCGATTATTACTGTCCGGAAGGCTTACATCGGCCTTATGACAATATCAAACGGTTTGACATGACTGGAAAAAAAAGAAACATAGCCATGAGATGACCTGGTTTAACAAAAAGGGCTATGAGGTTAATGAAGCATTTACGCACCTGGTTATTCCTGTTGTAAACTCTACCTGCGGTGCACAGACTCCGGTAGGCAACGAGACTTCGAATTTTGAGAGAATTCGCGACATTATCAGTAGTACAGATATCTCTGCTAGTTGGATACCAGGACAGCTTCGTCTTCCGTAGCCGAAAGCGTAAGCCCTCGGATCTGGATTGACTTCGTTCTCGCTCCCGTGGCGCCGCTGGCTGATCGATGCGTTATCAATAAAACGGGATGGCTTGAACTCAAATGGCTCTGGAAACAGAGAGGGATCATGTAGGATAGCCCTAAGTGTGAGAGATTCGTTAAAATGTGTTTGGCAATACTCCGTTGAGGCTTACCATGTATTCGGAATGACAGTGCTATCTTTTGGAATGAGGTATGATTTGTACACATCGTCTTGAACGACTCTGTGCGGCAGGGCTACACAGTGATGCGTGGACCATCATGATCAGTTTGGCACACATTAAAAATACACGACATGAATCACCTATGTTGGAAATAGGCGCGTACCGTAATACCTCTTTGAAAAGAGCATCGAGGTAGGGTAGGCTATGCAGTTCAGTTATAGAAGGCATCCTCCCGGCTCCACATATATTAGCGATTTCGCGCTGAGCTGTCTTTTGGGTATCCGGGTAGAGTGCCATTAAGAGAATGAAAGATGTCAATGCTGACACTGTCTAGATTGAAGTTGGTTGTTATTAAGCAGGCAAGAGGAAAAGCAAAACCTGATTTACTGTGTCAGAGGCACCTGCATAAAGCCCACCGGCCGCCCATTTTACTATATCCTCGGCTTCTGCATCTGCGTTGGGTCGAAGAAGTCGAGTTGTGAAGCATTCCACAAAATTTGGTTGCTCCTGCGTGTATCGATGTGATGATTCAGTTAGTCTCATACACGGAGTTTGAGTGCGGTCAGACTGACCATCTGCTTTTTGACCCAATTATGGGGTACGTCTGACAAGGACTCGAGTTGCTTTCTCCATTTTGCCCCTTGGCGCTTGAAATGTGCAAACGGGAACCACGATGGGATAAAGCGCACTGAGGTGATGAACAAGATGAACAGAATGCGAAAAACGATGTTAGCTTCGCGGTTATCAGTACCTTAGTGTGGTATAGTGAGGTACACACCGATAGGATAATAATCTACCATCCAACGACCGGGAGCCAGGGCCCAGCCAGAGATCTGAGCGGATTCCTCTGCCACACGAATAAATGGATCATCACTGTCAGTAAGTGTATAGCCATAAGTAATCTTCATTATGACTGCAGCTGCATTTCTGTCAAGTCACAAGTGGGTTGTGTATCAGAGTGCGGTTCATATGCAAATGTGTACAGACTCTACGTTACCTTCGAAAATGATGCTGAAAAGCATGCGGTTCTCGAGTCAAGGATTGAACAAAGACATCGGCTTCGCTCTCTAGTAGTTCGTGATATTCTGGAACCGCCCGCCCACTGAGACCATGCTGTAAGAGTCTCCGGTACTTCCCATGCCTACTATCCAAGGAGGAAATATTGAACACGGATTTTCCACGTCCGCAAAGCTCATGGAACATCCATGATTTGGGGCGATCGGAGTATATGCTCGCTCGTTTATGGAGGAGCTCCCGGACGGATTCGTGGTCGTTGAGAACTACAGTGCGACGGTTGTATATCCAGAATGATATGACAGGGCCTAGGGAGAAAAAATATTGCATTCGGTCAGCCTCGTAAAGAACACCTCTCATACGAAGTTTCTAGTTCTGCTTACTCTGGTAGTGCTCGGCCCATTGAGCATAGACCTTCCATGGAGACGAAGAAAGTTGATCTTTGACTCCGGCAAAGAAGGTACCCTTGGGACCAGGAGGGATACGTATCCTTCTGTTAGGATCGTGGTTGTACAAAAACCATACTAGTAGGATGGGCAAACAGCCTATCACAAATAGGACAGGTACTGAAGTTGTCATTGAATGGACCTAAGAGATGCGGCTAATTTCTGAGCCTCTTTTATAGTATACGAACGACTCATAACAAGGGAGGGTAAATAAAGGCAGTGGTTACCGACCTGGGAATGGGATGTTAGTATGGAGATGTACATTGTGTAGGTCCCCCGAGCGTGTCTCATCGCATCGAACTTGCTCGTAACGCGAAAGGTTCTGGGTCTTCGGAAGAGCCACGGCTAATAATAAGGTGGCCTATGATGTATATGGTGCATTGGGTTGGATGTATCAGTTCACGCCCTCGGCATATCGTTTCTGTTGCCAATCCAAGGACTATCCGAAATATCCGGGATGTTGTGGCCGTTTAAATGCAAACCCGCCATCAGCGGGATGAATTGATTATTGATATGCACGCGACTTGGGTCACCGTTCGGTGTGGTTTCGGACATTCATGCTTCTTTCGACTCCGCCTCCGTTCTGGAATCGGTTTGGATATAGGCGGGTATCTGCTGCGCATTGCCGCCGGACATATATGCAAGTTCAAACTGGGGACATACATTGGGTCGAAACAGTTTGATAACCCACCCCCCCACAAGCCCCAGTCTTCGAGGGAAGTCTATAAGACTATAACCTCATTTTGACGGTGCAGGAACAATCAGAAACAAGACGCCGGTTGAGACCAGCGCTAGTGGAATATCTCTTTGGATACAGATGAGTATGTAACACATAAGTTTTTTGGAGAGATTCACCGATCACCTATCATATGATGAGCGAACGCAAGCTTAGTAAAATCAAGTTCGGCGGTAAGTTTCCAGTAGGCTGAGTATGACCCAGTCTTCCAGTTGATGACCTGAAACCAGGATCCGAGAAAAACTGAAAAAAACTGGGGATATCGATAAGGATATGCACGTGGAGTTGTGAGGCGTTATGCGGATTACTGATGAGGGTTTCAATCAGAGTGGTTATGAGATTCAAATTTCAGAGAGTTCGGACGTGAAAGTTATTTACCTGCTTATTTATTCATCCCCACCCAGATAAACCCCAGAGGCAGTACTATCATAGTTGTTTCATGACATCCTGCAGCATCCTGCGAAGCACTACGTCTTCAACATTGAACACGGGACGGGAACTCCAAAAGTCTGATGGTTATTTGGAATATATAATGGCTAGCACTTGAAATCTTGAGAAGTCGTTCCGCGCTCGATTTGTACCCAAAAGGACACTTTTTCTCCCTCGATAAGTGTTTCGTCACAGTATTATTGCAAAGTCGCGCGAGGGCCCCATTCAGAAACGAAGACTCGGCAACTATCTCGTATCAGGTTATGTAGGCGTTCCCGGCTACACCCGTTGAGAAGACTAGAATTTGAGCATTGCAGAATTAGTGGCCAACATAATGATATGGTTTGCGGAGAAGGAAATCCAAAAATCAACAAAGGGAGATAAAGGGAATGTTCACCGTTTAAGAATTGAACAGTTTGGAACTGGTTTTACCCAAGAGCCAATTTGAAAAATAGGTAAGTATTGGGTTATCAGAGCTTTACAGTTTGCAAGCTTGGAAGTTGGAAGTTTGCGGTCTGGTGTAAAGATATCGTGAGAGTCTGGGTCCTGGGACTTAGAGATGTCATTGTCATTGCACATGTCAATCAACGGTCACGGTTAATCATTTCTCTTCTCCTCCTTCATTCATCTCGCTCAACACCACGCTCGTTTGAATTCGAATTTCGTCTTTTTGCCTTGACCTCGGCAACTCACCCCTCGTCACGAAAGTTGAGCCACTTTTTGATCACCTTCCGACTTTATTTCGCCCTCGTCGCGAATTCACAACGATGCTCGCGTCTATTTTCTTGCCAGCCTTATGGTTAGCATCGCCAGTCATAGCAGGCAAGGCTGGCTCTTTTGCCGATGGTGGGAACACTCAAGTCAGCGCTATGATGGTCCGTACAAAGGGTTAACTTTTCACTGGTTTTGTTCTGAAGAATTCGTGCAGATGTTCGTGGGTAACAAGGATAAGGTCTACATCATTGACAAGGCGGAGGGAAACGCCGCCCAAATCAAGGAGCATCCTGCATGGGGCGCGGTTTGGTGCGACCGGTATCTCCGTCTAGGTTTTCACGTTGCTCTGAATTGAGATAATAGGGATTTCAATACTCACCAAACTGAGGTTATGGACATCAAGACCAACGTCTTCTGCGCTTCTGGAATGCACCTTCCCAATGGCTCGTACGTCACATTTGGAGGAAACGGGGCCATCGCACCGGGCGGTAACATTGGCTCAGTTCCAAATGGCCAGGGTGCCGCATCTTACGACGCCACTTATCAAGACTATGACGGTTCCAAGTCTATTCGAATACTCAATCCTTGCACGGACACCGATGACTTCACCTCTACAAATTGTCAATGGTTCGATAATCCCGATGTCCTTTCCATGCAGAAAAAGCGATGGTATTCCGCCGCCGAACCTCTCGGTGATGGATCTGTAGCACTCATTGGCGGTTTCGTGAACGGAGGCTACATCAACCGAAACACCCCCAACACGGATCCTGAGTTAGAGGGCGGTGCAGCAGAACCGACTTATGAGTTTTATCCTTCTAACGGGCGCAACGCAACTGTGATGCAATTCATGATCAAGACGTCTGGTCTGAACGCGTACGCGCATACGTATCTGATGCCTTCGGGAAAGATGCTCGTACAGGCGAATATCTCTACCAGTACGTCAATGTATCTTCATACGTCTGCGTTGTTGTTGATTGATAGATGTTACTACTAGTGCTGTGGGATCCCGATAGCAATACTGAAACCGATCTTCCGGCCATGCCAGGTAATGTTGCGCGCGTTTACCCCGCCTCAGGTGCAGTGGCCATGCTTCCTCTTACTCCTGCCAACAATTACACCCCCACCGTCATTTTCTGCGGAGGCTCTGATATGCCAGATTCTCTCTGGGGTAACTATTCCTTCCCTAATACGGACACTTGGTTGTATCCCGCGTCTAAAGATTGTCAACGCATCACTCCTGAACCGGCCGACGGTTCAGCGCCTGTCTACGTTCAAGACGATGACATGATCGAAGGTCGTACCATGGGCCAGTTCATCATTCTTCCCGATGGAAAAATGTTGGTTGTAAATGGCGGTCTGAACGGCACTGCGGGGTACGCCACTAACACGGGAACGACTCTATCTTACAGCCAGATGCCCTTTGGAATGTCACTGGCCTCTGGACCTGTCGGGACTCCAGCTTTGTATGATCCTAATGCACCTGTTGGTAGTAGGTGGTCAAACTCCGGTTTCTCAACGTCTAATATTGCCCGACTTTATCATTCCTCTGCGATCTTACTTCCTGATGCATCCGTCCTCATTGCGGGCTCTAATCCGAACGTCGATGTCAATCTGACAACATACTTCCCCACCACGTACCAGGCCGAAATCTTCTACCCAGCTTATTTTTCTGCCACCACTCGCCCCATTCCATCTGGTATTCCCACCACTTTATCTTACGGTGGAGATTCTTTCGATATCACTGTGCCTGCGTCTTCATATTCGGGCTCGGGTAACGACGCGGCTGATAATACCACCGTCGTGGTCGTTCGACCGGGGTGGACCACTCACGGAATGAATATGGGTCAAAGATTTCTCCAGCTGAACAATACCTACACCGTGAACTCGGACGGCTCTCTTACATTGCACACGGCCCAGATGCCTCCGAACCCCAACATTTTTCAACCGGGGCCGGCTATGGTCTTTGTCGTCGTCAATGGTATCCCATCGAATGGGTCATTCGTAATTGTTGGCAGCGGCAACGTTGAAACTCAAGCTACCGCAGCTGCTAGTGTGCTACCTGCCAGCGTGCTTTTGAGCGGCGCGAGCGGTAGTGCCGATGGTTCCAGTACTTCATCTGGTGACAACGCTACTAATGCCAGTGGTAGTACAGTCTCACATACGGCAGTTATCGTAGGCACTGTCGTAGCAGGAATAATTATTCTGGGTGTCATCGGTGCGCTTATTGGTGTTTGCGCATCTCGCCGTCGTAGAGCGGCTGCCCAGAAAAACCCCAATGTATCCTCTTATGCAATGAGCAACACTCCTCTTGGTTCAAAGACACTCGGTGCCGGAGGTTACGGTGGTGGCCTACGGAGCTCTGATTCTAGTGCATTCTCGTTACAGCGGGATTTTAACGATAGTCAGCAGTGGTCCGGCAGTAGTGCGAATTTGACTGGTGATGGCAGGCTTTCACCTTACCATGACGCTCCACCTTATCTAGAGGATTCAAGAGGACCTCATGGAATGAGTATGGAGCTGGATCCATATGCTGCGCAATCGAGGATGAGTACGACTTCACCGCATGGACAAGGGTACTAAAATGTGGTCTATATTGTTACAAACGGACGGTTGTTTTCATTCTGTAGGCATAGGATCATCGGTTTATTTTAGTGACTGCTCCGGATTACTTTTGTTTTTGACATCTTTGGATTTGGACATCCGCTTGAATGGTAAACCGGTAAAGCTCAAAGTTGTACATTATTGGGCTATCTATCGTGACGTCTTTATTCTGCTAGTTGCTGTCGTACTTTACTCGACCTGGCCTTTTCTTGATGCTTTCAGTTTTCATGTCCCTCAATAATATTACTCGAAGTACGTAAATTGCATAAAGATTTGCAGCATCTGTTGTGGTCAGTGGGCGACTGATTGCAGGCTTCATGTTCTCAATCCGCCATGCCTGTCGTCCCTCCCTCAGAATTCGTCGGTGTCCTTCTCTCCTTCCCAGCTCATTCCGAAATATGTCCAGCAAAGTTCCTTCAGATTGCATGAAAATGGACCCCGTTTCCGGTGTACAGAATCAGGAATTCTATGTTGATAAAGACGGGACGAGTCGAGTCGACTTGAGTTTTGTGGAAGAGCCGCTGGGTCTTCCAGGTTCTGAGGGTTACGGATGGCCGCAACTCGAGTTTGGGGACAAAATTGGGCCCGACCTGCGCTATGAAATCAAGCGCAAACTAGGGTGGGGTATGAATTCTAGTACATGGCTGGCTTATGACATTGGGTGAGTAGAAATTCACTTTTCTTCATCCAACCGTCTTTAATTCATTTACAACACAGTGTGAATGATTATGTCGCCATCAAAGCCTTAACGGGGTATGCCACAGAATTACGAAGTCGAGGACGTATCTGGGAGTTGGAGGCTCTTCAGCGCGTGTCAGGATCTAACAACCATTGTTTACATCTCCTTAACGAGTTTACACATCCAGGAAAGGGTTCTTCAGGGGAACACTCTTGCTTTGTCACACCTGTATATGGTGGAGACGTCAAAACACTATGGGCACAGCACAAGAACTTTCCGCTTCCCCTTGCGAAACGAATGCTCCTTCACACCCTTCGTGGAATTGCACATGCGCACAGTAAAGGCGTCATCCATACTGATCTCAAGCACGACAATATATTCTTCTCTTCGCTATTGTCTCGTCAAGATATAGATGCCACTCTAGTATCTAATCCTCCACGTCGAAATCCTCCTGAGGCTTCCATGGATGGTGCCGTATGCTCTGCGGTCACTCAACCCCTACCTCCCCCAAGCTTGGATGATGCAATGAAGTGTGAGTACTTGATCGCTGATTTTGGGAGTGGTATGTTATTTAGTTTGTTTTATTTTTCGTGTTTCATCTAATTCCTGGTGTTCCCATAAAGCCCAACTCTTTGATAAACCTAAGGAGCTTGAAGTCACATCAGCTCCCTTGAGAGCACCCGAGGTTCTTCTGCTTGGATCTTGGAATGAAAAGGTGGAAATATGGACATTTGGTTGCCTGGTATGTGAAATTTATTGTTGTTGAGAGCGGGTCCATCAATACCTGTAGATCTTTGAATTTGTCGTAGGACGGTCTTTATTCCGACATGAGAGTTTCAGAGACCCGGTTAAAGATATTACGTTGGACAATGTCGCCTATCACCTTTATCAGATGGCGTGTTTTCTTGGTGAGGTAGATTTTCCTCCAGAGGTGTTGCAGTACAGTAGACTTGCATCAACATATTTCAACACTGATTGTAAGTGTGTTTTTCCTCTTTGTATCGGGCATGTATTAAAATTTGACCACCCCAAGGCACTTTCAAACATGCTCTTCCTCTGCTATTGTTTTCCATAAGAGGGCAAATTAACAGCACTAAAAAGTTCAGTCCAGAGGATGTGAAGAGCACGAATGAGATTGTGAAACGGTGTCTCGAGCTCAATCCGGCCGATAGGCCAACAGCCGCTGAGCTATTGAACGATCCTTGGTTCCTCGGTGTAGAATGATGATAGATTTCGATGTGTAATGAAAACCCTTGCTCATTTGGAAACTAGAAAACTCCTCAATTTACATCGTGCTTGTTGACAACAGGAAAATAAATTTGGCTGGGTGGTAAGAGCTACCCTCATGATTGAGGACACGTTCATGATCATGAGCACTTTGCTTCACCGACTCTGAAAGAGGAGGTCCTTGTAGGTAGCGATCGGTAATCTGGCAGGAAATTTCCTTTTTTGGATGTATTAAAATCGGGTCTGTAGATCGGAATGCAAAGCTGTAGAAACACAGCTTTAGTTATATCAAGGGTGTGTTTTTGGGGGGTAAAATGCATTGGCATGACTAGGCATGACTCCATTCATTTGGCCAGCATGAACTAAGTTTGAGATTAAATGTTGCTGTAAAGCAGTATTAAGAGTCATATTATGAGTTTTCAAGAATATATGATCATGTAAAACAAGATTTGACTTACTGCAAGTCATTGATGACCGAGTAATATTTTGAATAGAATTTTGCTGCCATAAGATATGTAATGGAGTATGGCTGTGCAGAGAAACATGTATGTTGAGTCAGTGCAACTGATGTAATGAGTCATTTTGAGTCTTTGAAGGAAAGAGTAATATCACTAATATATCTTGAAATATCCAATATGCAGGTTTGTTGAAAGTCATTTTTTACTGCACTTAATTCACAGTTGATATTGTCATTCAATGTCTTGAGTCAATCTGTGATATTGATAGGGGGAGTATATATAGCTTCATCAGAGTGTAATCTATTGTACAATAATGTCTTCAGTCATAGTTTAGAGGCAAGCTCTGCTCATGATGTATCACTATCCCCAGAGCTGTTTCTGTAGTCATTGGGATTTCTCAAAGAAAATGCAGTTGTGGCTCTGGTTTTAAAAAGGATCTGGACATTGGTTTATGGTTAATGGTATAAATCAGTTTCCAGTTCTTCATTTGTTTGCATTGGAGTAACATATACTCAGAGTCTATTTTGGTATCAGCAACATCCAGCATTTTTGTTAGGTCACTCATTTTATCCAAGACAGACTTGTTGCCACATCTGCAAAACCTGTATTTTGGCTAAGGGTCTGAAAGCAGTTGAGAGCATTTCCCAGCAGTGAAAGCACTCAGAGCAACCTGCTCTCAGTGCTTTCAGTACTGGGATTGGCTGGGATCTGCTCTCAGCCCTTAGCTAAATATCCATGTTTTGCAGATGCCAAGAGACAGGAGTGTTACAAAAAGTTCCATTCTACAGTGTCTTCATGCAGAAATTTGTTGCAGGTTCTGGAGATTTTGTCATTATCACCTTTTATCAATGATATATCCCTATATTGTATGCCTAAGGCAGTAAAGAATATTGACAAGTTTAATGTTCAATGTATTTTCCCTGATTGAGAATGTACAGTACTGCTTTAGCAAGTATTTGGGATTTGGGTTTGAATCACTTGTTTGTAGGACAAGCTCACAGTGGGTACGTCAGAGTATGCACAAGATTGATTTCAGTCTTTGTCATTTTTATTCTGGTGGAATTGTTATATTGAATAATTTACACAATATATAACTATCAATTAAGATGAAAATGATACAATTCACAATGCATTGTTGAAGCTGAAGCTGGCAATAAATAGTCCATGTCTTTCATTTTTGCATATATTTTATCTGAGGTGTTAAGTCAACTTAATCTCAGTTGGTGGTGTGGCAGCTGTGGGTACCTGTTAAGTCAAGTTAATCTACTGCAATTAATCTATATGAATATACTTCAAGTTTACCTCAGTTAGCAACTGAGGGAGTTGAGTACTCTAAACAGTGTAATCTATGTAGAACTGCATAGTATCAAGTAATAACACTGTCTCTCAGTTATGTGGGTCCCCAAGTGGGATCACAGCTATATCAGTATGTACAGAGTATGTTCCAACATGACAAAGTTACAAATAGCCTTTGATAATCCTGCATTCCACTATGCTGCACTCTGTTTCTTTAGTTACTATGGCCACAAAGGATCAGCAGTGCAATGGCCTGCAATCGCATGTATAAGACCTAGTCCTCCATTTGGTGTGACAAAATTCAGGGACATGGGCCACTAGCACAGATCTTGGTTAGTATTACATAACACCACAGATGTATCAAGGACTCCGCCAAGTCCATGCCTCAGTGCCCCGCTCTGCCGCTTGGTGTTCCGAGATCTACTGTTGATTGTAATCTCATCCTTATTGTTCTTTCTTGCTACACATTCCCTTTCTATTAGGCTCTCCCTTCGCTCCTCATTGTTGGCAACACCGCCACTCCAGCTTGGCTGCTTCTGGCTCTTTTCCTTCTTTACTCTCAATCTCTGGGGACTAGCGGCGTAACGGCGGTGTTGTTAATAACTTCACTAATGTCCCACTCAACCTTCTGCTCTTAGACACCTTGTGGCCTCTGGCACGGCTTCACAGTGTACATGATCTTAACAGACTCCAAAACCATGACAATCACCCTTAATACAATTTGATTCCTAATTAATCAAAATTTGTCCTTTAGCATTGATTATAGTGAGCTTATCTTAATATACTATACTTTGATTCTAGATACTTAAATTTGAGACATTGTAAAATAAGAAAGAGTCACAAGCAAAACTTGATGTTTTGTATCAAGGACTCCAAGATCACTGTATACATTATACCACTAGAATATATCTTACAAAATGACTTTTCTTTCTGTACTTCATTCTCAACCTATCAATTGTCCATTTTACAAGCTCAAAATGTTAAACCCTTTCAGAGTCGGGGATTGCCGCATTTGCGGTGCTAAAGGATATGAGTACCGGCAATACCTCTGATTTCGACAGTGTTTGGCTTTGTTTGTTATCTATATCAATTAGGAAAGATTCCAAGCCGCGAGTAGTTTGGCTCGTACAGGCTTGAAAATACAGCAAATTCTCTGATTTTTTCTGCGGGATCAACTAAGAGAACCATTTTGTTTGAAGTGTTGCAAGCAGAATTCTTATTTTTGGTGTTTGAAAAATTAATTGAACAATGATCAATCCAGCATACTTTTTGGGGCACAATTATCATAAATCTGTTTCCAACACTTCGAGTAGAATTTCAGCTTCTGTATATGTCATTTTGTTTGAAGGGAATTGGAGCTGATGCTGCTGCGCAATATCCCAAATACTCCATCAGCGGAATCAAATGTGGCAGGACGCGCTTAGTACATTACGTAAAGGCCCAACGCGTCTTTGTTGATTAATTCCTCGCCCTCTCGCAGCCTTGATAGCTTGGTTGATGGCTTGAGGTTAATCGAGCATCCAATGGGGAACTAAAAGAGTTGGAAAATCGCGTACTTACAACTTTGCAGGCATCAGAAAACCCAAGAAAACCAAGGAGAATCATTTCCATCTTCCCACTTCCAGCATCTGTCCTGAACACGTGTCAGCTTCCTGTAGCAAGGCATCCATTCCTGAATCAGACCGTTTACCTGCAGAGAAGATCCGTGCCAATGGGTTCTACAAGAAGTTGCGCAATCTTTGAAGACAATTCAGTCGTTCTGAATCTGTACGTGAAGACTTAGAGATGCGTGTCAGGCAGCAATTCCACTACTTCAGGATTTATTCACTCTCTCCAAAAGGATCTACCGATGCCCGGCAGCAGATATACGAGTTGGACAGAGAATTAGTCAGGAAGCAAGAAAAGTTAAGAAAAGAGAAGCTTAGGAGTGATGATCTGTGCCGGACCAGGGATAACTTGAAGAAGACCGTGTCTAGGGTGCCAAATCACGTCAAGAACGCGACTGAGAAGGCTCTGGACAGATTCACGCGTCAATCAATCAAAGACAAGAATATTATCACACCCGGAATGCGTTTGTGCATTATGGACCTTGTAGCTGATGGAGCCCCCTCACTCAGACAAAGTCAACCATATGATTCACAGTGTTGGGAAAGCACTAGGAATTAGTGTTGTTGACAATGTCAGTGATAGATCAACAGGTCGCGTTCTTTGCTCCGCCAATATTGCTGCTTGCATTCAGGTTGTTCAAGCAATTTATAAAGCACCTGGTCGGTTACTTATTCAAAATTAGATAAGTACTCACAACATTCTTCTAGCGATTTCAATTAGCGGAAATGGGACCTTGCACAAGAATCTCAATTATGAGTCTCGACATACAGCTGTCATTGATCCCAACACTGGTGAAAAACAGATATATTTTCTTGAAATTGCCTTAGCACCCAATCATACCAGTGAGGAACAGCTCAATGGGTGGGCAGATATAATATATGAGATGTATAAGACATATTGTGCAAGTCCAGAGGGTGAGAGGAATCCACTCACCGAGCACACATTTTACAAAAAAGTTCTTGGTATGGTCACTGACCATGCTGCCAATCAGAAGAAGCTTGCATCACTAATTGTTGAGCTTAAACGCTTGATGGACCGTGAGGAGCGAGGCAAACAGGCAATTAAGAATATTGCACCCGAGGAGATTCTTCGAGTGGTAGCAGAGCTTTGTTAAGATCATGTACACCGTGTAACCGTGCCAAAGCTACAAGGTGTCTAAGTGCGGAAGACAAGTGGGACAGTAGTGAAGTTATTAACAACACCACCGTTACGCCGTTAGTCCCCGGAGATCGAGAGTAGAGAAGGGAGGAACTGAGAAGCAGCCAGGTCGGAGCGGCGGTATCGCCAGTGACGAGGAGCGAACCAGAGAACGTCTAAGTCCTAAGGTTATAGTAGAGAGTACTCCAAGGCGTTGAGCCTGAAGACTTAGAGAGGAGTTAAGTTGGGAAGGGAGATCTAAGTTGATCTAAGTTGATAATTAAACTGAGGAACTACAGTAGTGTACAGGCAGTATTTATATCTACGGAACGGCGCATCGGTGCGGAGCGCCAGACTAACTACTAGGAGCTATACGAGTAGTACCTGCAGGGTAGAGTAAAAGACAATAAGGAGAGACTAGAACGAAAGAGTAAAAGACAATAATGAGAGACTAGAACGAAAGGATATGTGTAGCGAGAAAGAACAATAGGAAGAGAT